CGGCGCGGTGGGGTTCGGTGCCCGCCCCGCACGTTGGCAGCTGTGGGCGTGCAGAAATTCCTCCCCCCGTGCCCCCGTCGCCAGCACGGCTGGGGTTTGGCTGCGGTTCACCCCACGCTTTGCCCCTCAAGAAGCCCCACAAACAAACGCTGCCCCCAGGCCCTCCGCCTCGAGCCTCATAACGCCGCCCCCGAACCCTATAAACGGCCCCGCAAAAGCCCCGCACCCCCAACCCCCCAAGGCCCCTCAACCCCCCGGGCGCCGCACCCCAAACCTCCCCCCTGCGCCCCCAAACCCCCAACGCTTCCCCTCGAAACCGCAAACCCGCATCCCAAATCCTCCAACCCTGAGCCCTCAAACTCTGGCCCCGCACCCCCAAAGCTCTGCCCCCCAAATCCCCCAACCCTACAACCCCGAAGCCCTGCCCACGTGCGCCCAAGGCTCTGCCCCCCCCCGGCCCCGTGCTCCGAATTCCCAAACCCCTGCCTTTGCAAAACCCTCCAACTCCGCACCCCAAAGCGCCCCAAACCCTGCACCCAGTGCCCCAAATCCCACAGCCCCAAACCCCGCCCCTACAAACCCCAAACCCCGTGCCCCCAACTCCCAACCCTGGCGCCCCAAGCCCTGCCGTCCTGCGCCCCCAAAACTCCGCCCCCAAGCCCTGCACCCCAAAGCCCCCAACCCTGAACCCCTTGCTCCCCTCCGCCCCAGATCTCTGCCCCTCAACCCCCCCAGCCCCGACCCCATAAGACCCCAAATCCCCCAACCCTGATGCCCCAAGCCCTGCCGTCCTGCACCCCAAAACTGCCTCCCAAATCCCATACCCCAAATCCCAAATCCTGCTCCCAAACCCTGCAACACAAATCCCCGGCCCCAAACCGCACCCCCCAAACATTGCGCCCGCTTACCCCAAACCTCCACCCCACAGATCCAACCCCAAACCTTCCCTCTCTGCACCCCAAAACTCCGCACCCCCAATTCTGTGCCCCAAATCTCCAAACCCTGCACCCCAAATGAGGCTCCCCGGAAAACCCACCCAACTCCACCCCCCAAAACACCCCAAATCCCGAATGGCCAAACCCTGCCCCCAAACCCTGCCCCCCAAACCCTGCACCCCAAACCACTGCCCCCAAATCCTCCACTTGGCCCCAACTCTGCCCCTAAAAGCGCCAAAAGCCCCAAATCCCCCGACCCCGATGCCCCAAGCCCTGCCCCCCCCCCCCCCCCTGCCCCCCCCCCCCCCCCTCCTCCCCCGCCCCAACACCCCAATCTCCGCCCCAAAGCCCCGCCCAGCCCTGACAATTCACACATCGGCCCCCTGCACCCCAAATCCCCGAAGCCCCAATCCTGCCCCCTACACCCCATAACTGCAATCCCCCAAGCCCTGCCCCACACGGGCTCCTCGCCGCTTTGGGGGCAGCCCAGGGGCTCCTTATGGGGAGGGGATCTGTGGGGTCTGCGCCCCACGTTGGGTGTGGGGTCAGCGTGTGGGGCACGAGGGGACAATGGGGTCACAGCAATGGGGTGGAGAGAGAATGTGGGGCACGGGGGGGGGCAGGCCGCTGTTTGTCCCATTGGCACCAATGTGGGGTTCTGCCCCACTGACACCGCTATGGGGCGCCCCATAGCCCGCTATAGGGCACGGACCGGACGCTGAGGTCCCCGCACGGCCCCTTTATGGACACGGGGGGGCTGGGTGACGTGGCCCCACAGCGCCTCGTCCCATTGAGACCCCACCTGTCCCATCCCCCCCCCCCCCCCCCCCGCGTCCCTTTTGGGGCCGTTTCGCCCAATTTTACCCTCTTTCGCAACAAAACGAAGGACGACAAAAATCCCCCAAACTGGATCTTAAAAAACAACCAAAAATCCCAACTTTTTCGGATGGTTTTTTTTCCCCCAAACCACCCAAAAACGGCGAATCCCGCCCCAAACCGCGCGGCCCCGCCCGGTTATTTATAGCGGCCTATGGGGCTTTGGGGGGGGGAGGAGGCAGAAATCCCATATAAATGGGGTTTTTGTAGGGAAAGGGAAAAAGCGGAGCCGTGGGGGGGCGAGGAGCCGCGCACCGAGAGCCATGGGGCGGCCCCCCCCCCGCGGCAGCGCTGCTGCTCACGGCGCTGTGGGGTCGGTGTGGGGCCAGGGGGGGTCGGGTTTGGGGTCGGGTTTTGGGGTCGGGTTTGGGGTCGGGTTTGGGGTCGGGTTTGGGGTCGGGTTTGGGGTCGGGTTTGGGGTCGGGTTTGGGGTCGGGGGATCCCATGGAGAGGTCCTGAGGGGGGTGGGGGACCTCATGGAAATGTGCCATAGGGACTGGGAGGATGGGGGGCTGGAGATCCCATAGGGATTGGGGAGAAGGTTGTGGGGCTGGGGGGTCGGGGTGTCCCATGAAAAGTCCATAAGGGTTGGGCTGTGGGGTCTGTGGGGTCGGGAGGGGGTTTGGGGTCGGGGTGTCCCATAGATGGATCCCGTGGGGGGTGGGGACCCCGTGGAAATGTCCCATAGGGTTTGGGGGGTTGCAGATCCCATAGGACTGGGAGGAGCTTTGGGGTTTTGGGGTTGGAGGACCCCATGGAAAAGTCCCATAGGGGATTGGGGGGGGGGTCGTGGGGCTGTGGGGTCGGGGGGAGCTTTGGGTGGGGGGGTTGGAGATCCCCATGGGAAAATCCCATAGGGACTGGGGGGGAGCTTGCAGTTTCGGGGGGGGCCTTTGGGGGTTGTGGGGTCGGGGTCCTGTGGAAAGTCCCATAAGGGTTGGACTGTGGGGTCGGGAGGGGGTTTGGGGTCAGGGGATCCCATGGAGAGATCCTAAGGGGGGTGGGGGACCCCGTGGAAATGTCCCATAGGGTTTGGGGGGTTGGAGATCCCATAGGGACTGGGAGGAGCTTTGGGGTTGTGGGGTCGGGGTGTCCTGTGGAAATGTCCATAGGGTTTGGGGGGGGGGGGGAGGTTTGGGGCCACAGTGGGGTCGGTGGGACGGGGTTGTGGGGCTGGGGGAGCTTTGGGGCTGTGAGGTTGGGGGTCTCATGGAAAGTCCCATAGGAACTGGGGGGGGTTGGGGGTCCTCGTGGGGAAATCCTATAGGGAATGGGGGGCTGTGTGGGAAAGCGCCTTTGGGATCGAGGGGGGTTTTGGGGTCTGGGCAGGGGGGTCGACGTTGGGGGTTCCCATGGGGAGTGGGAGACCCCATAGAAATGCCCCATAGGGATTGGAGGGGCTTTGGGGTTTTGGTAAATCCCCAGAGGGGTTGGGCTGTGGGGTCGGGGGGGGTTTGGGGTTCGGGGTCCCCAGGGAGAGATGGGGGAAAAGTCCCATAGGGAATGGGGAGACTTGGGGGGCTGAGGGGCTTTGGGGTCAGGGGGTCGGGGTGTCTCCTAGGGGACTGGGGGCTGCGGGGTCGGGATTTGGGGTTGCGGGGTTGGGGGTCACCGTTGGAACGAATCCCGCAGAGTTTGGGGCACCCGGAGGGGGAATTCCATGGGGAAGGAGCCGTGGAAAAACCCCATAGGGAAAAAGGACCACGGGGGGAAAAACCCCATAAGGAAAAGGGGAAGTGGGCGCACGGCGCAGCCCCACGGGACCCCCGGCCCATCAGCCCCGCGGGTCACAGGGGGGCAGCAGCCGGGGGGCTTCAGTGCCCCCCATCCCCAACATGGGGCTGTGGGGTTTTTCCTCTTGGGATGAGACCCCAAAGGCGAGGGGTGGGGGGAAAAGGGACAGAAAAGGGTTTGGGGGGGGAAAGTGATTTCTGTGGGGTGGGGGGGATTTATTGGGGTGCTGGATGTGGGTTCTGGGGCGGCTCTGTGGGGTTTGGGGTGGCATGTAGGGGGTCCTCAGTGGGGTTCTGGGTGCTTTATATGGGATTCCAGGTGTTCCATATGGGGCGCTGGGCGTTATATGGGGTTCTCAGAGCTGGATATGGGGCGCTGGGTGTTATATGGGGTTCTCAGAGCTGGATGTGGGGCGCTGGGTGTTATATGGGGTTCTCAGAGCTGGATATGGGGCTCTGGGCGTTATATGGGGTTCTCAGAGCTGGATATGGGGCGCTGGGTGTAACGTCTGGTGTTGGGGTGCCGTATATGAAGTTCTTGAGGTGCTGTGTGTGGGATTTGGGTTCTGGGTGTGGGGTTTTAGGTGCTGTGCACGAGGTTCTGTTTGAGGTGCTGTCTGTGGGGTTCTGGGCGCTGTATGTGGGGTGCTTGGGGGTTGTGTGGGGCTCTGGGTGTGATATGGGGTTCTCGGAAGGTAGCGTGGGGCTCTGGGTGCTGCTTTGTGGGGTCTTGGGTGCTGGCTGTGGGCTCGTGGTGCTGCGTGCGGGGCTCTGGGTGCTTTGTATGGGGTTCTCAGTGACACGTGGGGTTCGGGGTGCAGGATCTGGGTCCCTGGTTTTATGGGTTCCTGGGTGCTGGATGTGGGTTCTGGGTGTTTGTGGGGGTTCTTGGGGCTCCTTTGTGGGGCTCCTTTGTGGGGCTCTTTTGTGGGGTGCCCCCCGGAGTCCTCTGTGCTCTTATGGGGTTCTGGCCTGGGGGCTTTGGGCGCTGCTTTGTGGGGCTTCCCCCCACCCCCCACCCTCACTTTTCCCTATGGCCCCCCCCACCCCCACTGCCGTCCCTCAGTGTCCCTGCATCCCCCATAACCCCGCGTCCCCCGTCCCCCCCCCACCTCCCTGATCCCCCACAGCCCCCATATCCCCCCCCACCCCCCCATTGCCCCATAACCTCACGCTGCCCAGAACCCCGAGGCCCCCATTTCCATTGATCCCACACCCCATAAGGCCCCCCCTCTCCGTAACCCCACACCCCTCCCCCGCCTCGTAAGGCCATCACTGCACACCACAAAATCCCCCATAACCAAATGACCCCGTGACCCCGTGCCCCCACCCCCCCATAATGCCACAAAACACCCCCACCCCCATGGCCCCCCATGCTCCCCCATAACCCTATAACCTCTCACCTCAGCCTCACACACCTCCCCTATGCCCCCGTAACCCCATGATCCCAAACCACCCCATAACCCCACACCCCCCATAATGCCATGATCCCAAACCACCCCATAACCCCACACCCCCCATAATGCCATGATCCCAAACCACCCCATAACCCCACACCCCCCGTAACCCCGTGATCCCAAACCACCCCATAACCCCCCCCCGTGCCCCCAGGCCTCTGCTCCCCATTTAACATCGATGTTCTCCACCCGCGCCTCTTCCACGGACCCCCGGAGTCGCAGTTTGGGTACAAAGTGCTGCAGCACGCGGTGGGCAGCGAGCGGTGGTGAGTGACCCCCAAGTGTGGGGCCTGGGACCCCCAGGTGTGGGGCAGGGCTGTGAAGTGTGAGGCCAGGACCTCAAATGTGGAGCAGGAGCCTCAAATGTGTGGGGCTGGGACCCCCGTAAGTGCAGCAGGAGCCTCAGTGTATGGAGTGGAGAAGCCCAAGTGTGGGGCTGGGACCCCCAAGTGTGGGGTGAGGACTGTGAAGTGTGAGGCCAGGACCCCAAATGTGGGGCAGGAGCCTCAATGTGTGGGGCTGGGACCCTGGATGTTGGAAACTGAGGTAGGAGAGGGCAGGGAAGGGGGGAAAGAAGGGAGGGGGGAGAGAAAAGTGGAAGGAAAGGGGGGATGTGGGGCGGGAGCGAGGAAGTGGGGCGGGGGGGGGGAATTGTCCCCGCATCCCCCCCTCCATGCCCTGCCCCCCCCCCCCCCCCCCGCTCTGCCCCACAGGCTGCTGGTGTCGGCCCCATGGGACGGACCGCAGGGCGACCACCGCGGGGAGCTCTACAAGTGTCCGCTGGAGCCCCCCCAACGGCACCTGCACCAAAAGCAACCTCGGTACCGGGGGGGGGGGGGGCACGGGGGGGTCCGGGTGAGAAGGGGGGACGTGGGGAGAAGTGGGGGGAGGAGTGGGGGGGGGTCCAGAGGGGATGGGGGGAAGATAGAGACGCAGTGGGGTCCAAGGGGGACATAGAGACAACGGGTGGGGATGGGAGGGGGGACGTGGGGACACGGGGGGGGGATGTGGGGAGAGTGGGGGGTCCAGTTGAGAAGGGGGGACATGGGGGGATCCAGAGGGGATGGGGGGGACAGAGAGACACAGTGGGGGCACGGGGACAGTGGGGTCCAAGGGGGACATGGGGGGGGGGGGTCTGGTGGGGGGAGGGCAGTGGGGTCTGGGAGTGGGGGGGGGGGGGTCGGGGACATGGGGAGGCTGGAGGGGGGTGGGGACAGAGGGGTGCAGTTGGGAAGGGGGGACGCGGTGGGGCGGGATGGTGGCGGGACACCGGGCGGCGCCCGGGCGTCCGCGGTGCCATCGGCCGCTGCCCGCTTTTCGGGGCGAGGGGACGCGGCGCTGCGGAGCCCCAACATGCATCTGGGAATGGCGCTGAGCGGCGGCGGGGACGGCGGCGTCCTGGTGAGGGGGGGCTGCGGGGCGGGGGGCGACGGGGGGGGCGGGGGGGAGGTGTGGGGCGGGGGCTGAGGCCGTGCGCCCCGACCCCCAGGTGTGCGCCCCGCTCTGGTCCCAGCCGTGCGGCAGCTCCGTGTTCAGCAGCGGCCTCTGCGAGCGCCTCGACCGCCGCATGCGGCACAGCGGCACCGTCACGCCCACCGCGCAGCGTCAGTGCCCGCCCGACCCCCGAACCGCCCCCGCGACCCCCTGAGCCCCCAATCAATCCCTGCCCCCCCGATCCCTGCCCCCACCCCTCCCCCCCCCCCCCCCCCCCCCCTACCCCCCCCCCCCCCCCCCCCCCCCCCCCCCCCCCCCCTCCCCCCCCCCCCCCCCCCCCCCCCCCCCCCCCCCCCCCCCCCACTTCCCGCCCTTCGCTCCCCCCTTCCCGCCCCCCCCACATCCCCACTCCTGCTGTGCTCCTCCGTGCCTCCATCCCTGTCGCCCCCATCCCCCGATTTGTCCCCCTGTCCCCACATCCCTGGCTCCGATGTCCCCCCCAACCCCGTCCCCACGTTCCTGTGTCCCCACACCTCCACATTCCCCCCATGTCCCCACATCCCCACATGTCCCCGTGTCCCTGCCCCACATCCCATGTCACCATGCCCACGTCCCCCCCTCATTCCCCTGGCCCTACGTCCCCACACCCCTGTCCCTATACACTCTCATGTCCCCGTGTCCCTGTGCCCCCCGTGTCCCTGTCCCCACATCCCTGTGTCTCCGTGTTCCCCCCTCCCCACATTCCCCCACCTCCAGTCCCCCTGTCCCCATGTCCCCCCTCCCCCCATCTCCACGTCCTCCTGCCTCCCCACATCCCCTTGTCCCTCCATCCCCCACTGATTCCCATCCTTGCACCCCCCCCTCCCCCCATCCCTGTGCCCCCCACACTCCTGTCCCCATGTGCACGTGTCCCTGTTCCCCCCATCTCTGTGTCCCCCCAACCCCAAATCCCTATTTGCCCCCACTCCCCCATGCCCCTATGTTCCCCTATGTTCCCCTATGTTCCCCTATGTTCCCCTATGTTCCCCTATGTTCCCCCATGCCCCTATGTTCCCCTATGTTCCCCTGTCCCCATGTCCCCCATCCCTGTGTTCCTCTGTCCCCATGGACCCTCATCCCTCTGCCCCCCACGCCCGTGTCTCTGTGCCCTCCATCTCCTTGTCCCCCCACATTCCCCCATGTCCCCCCACTCGCCCCATAACCCCCCGCGTCCCCCCATCCCTGTGCCCCCCACCCGTGTCCCCTGTATCCTCCATCTCCTTGTCCTCACATCCCCGTTTGCTCCCGTTCCCCCCCGTCCCCCCATCCCTTTGCCCCCCACCCGTGTCCCGGTGCCCCCCGTCCCCTCATTTCCATTCCCCCGTGCCCCCCGTCCCCCCGCAGCCCCCCGACCCCCGTCCCGATGCCGCAGGCTGCCCCACATTCCTGGACATCGTCATCCTGCTGGACGGCTCCAACAGCATCTACCCGTGGCACGAGGTGCAGCGCTTCCTGCGGGCGCTGCTGGCGCGCTTCTTTGTGGGGCCGCAGCAGAGCCAGGTGGGACGAGGGGGGCGCAGGGACGGCCCAGGTGCCACCGTCCTGTGGGGGGCCATGGGGTGCCCCAGGTGGCGGTGCTGCGGTATGGGGTCCGTTTGGGGTCCGTTTGGGATCCTTTTGGGGTGCATTTGGTGTCTGTTTGGTCCCCAGGTGGCAGTGCTGTTGTATGGGATCTGTTTGGGGTCCTTTTGGGGTGCGTTTGGGTTTCCTCTGGGGTCCGTTTGGTCCCCAGGTGGCGGTGCTGCAGTATAGGGTCCGTTTGGGGTCCTTTTGGGGTCCATTTGGGGCCCATCTTGTCCCCAGGTGGTGGTGCTGCAGTATCGGGTCTCTTTGGGGTCCATTTGGGGTCCTTTTGGGGTCCGTTTGGTCCCCAGGTGGCGGTGCTGCAGTATGGGGTCCATTTGGGTCCGTTTGGGGTCCATTTGGGGTCCATTTGGGGTCCATTTGGGTCCATTTGGGATCCATTTGGGTCCATTTGGGTCCATTTGGGTCCTTTTGGGTCCTTTTGGGGTCCATTTGGGTCCATTTGACTCCATTTGGGTCCATTTGGGGTCCATTTGGGGTCCATTTGGGTCCATTTGGGTCCATTTGGGTCCTTTTGGGGTCCTTTTGGGTCCATTTGAGATCCATTTGGGGTCCATTTGGGTCCTTTTGGGTCCTTTTGGGTCCTTTTGGGTCCATTTGAGTCCATTTGGGGTCCATTTGGGGTCCATTTGGGGTCCATTTGGGTCCATTTGGGTCCATTTGGGTCCATTTGGGTCCATTTGGGGTCCATTTGGGGTCCTTTTGGGTCCATTTGGGTCCATTTGGGATCCATTTGAGATCCATTTGGGGTCCATTTGGGTCCTTTTGGGTCCATTTGGGGTCCATTTGGGATCCATTTGGGTCCATTTGGGTCCTTTTGGGGTCCATTTGGGTCCATTTGCGTCCTTTTGGGGTCCATTTGGGGTCCATTTGGGTCCATTTGGGGTCAGTCTGCCTGCAGGTGGTGGTGCTGCAGTATGGGGTCCATTTGGGTCCTTTTGGGATCCATTTGGGTCCATTTGAGTCCATTTGGGTCCATTTGGGTCCATTTGGGTCCAATTGGGGTCGGTCTGCCCGCAGGTGGCGGTGCTGCAGTATGGGGTCCATTTGGGTCCATTTGGGTCCTTTTGGGATCCATTTGGGTCCATTTGGGTCCATTTGGGTCCATTTGGGGTCCATTTGGGTCCATTTGGGTTCCATTTGGTGTCCATTTGGGTCCATTTGGGTCCATTTGGGGTCCATTTGGGATCCATTTGGGGTCCATTTGGGTCCATTTGGGTCCATTTGGTGTCCATTTGGTGTCCATTTGGGTCCATTTGGGTCCATTTGGGGTCCATTTGGGATCCATTTGGGGTCCATTTGGGGTCCATTTGAGTCCATTTGGGTCCATTTGGGGTCCATTTGGGGTCCATTTGGGTCCATTTGGGTCCATTTGGGTCCATTTGGGATCCATTTGGGGTCCATTTGGGTCTTTTTGGGGTCCATTTGGGTCCATTTGGGTCCTTTTGGGATCCATTTGGGGTCCATTTGGGTCCTTTTGGGTCCTTTTGGGTCCATTTGGGGTCCATTTGGGGTCCATTTGGGTCCTTTTGGGTCCTTTTGGGTCCATTTGAGTCCATTTGGGTCCATTTGGGTCCATTTGGGTCCATTTGGGTCCTTTTGGGTCCATTTGGGATCCATTTGGGGTCCATTTGGGTCCATTTGGGTCCAATTGGGGTCGGTCTGCCCGCAGGTGGCGGTGCTGCAGTATGGGGTCCATTTGGGTCCATTTGGGTCCTTTTGGGATCCATTTGAGTCCATTTGGGTCCATTTGGGTCCATTTGGGGTCCATTTGGGTCCATTTGGGGTCCATTTGGGTCCATTTGGGTCCTTTTGGGATCCATTTGAGTCCATTTGGGTCCATTTGGGTCCAATTGGGTCCATTTGGGATCCATTTGGGTCCATTTGGGGTCCATTTGGTGTCCATTTGGGTCCATTTGGGTCCATTTGGGTCCATTTGGGGTCCATTTGGGATCCATTTGGGGTCCATTTGGGTCCATTTGGGGTCCATTTGAGTCCATTTGGGGTCCATTTGGTGTCCATTTGGGTCCATTTGGGTCCATTTGGGTCCATTTGGGGTCCATTTGGGATCCATTTGGGGTCCATTTGGGTCCATTTGGGTCCTTTTGGGGTCCATTTGGGTCCATTTGGGTCCTTTTGGGATCCATTTGGGGTCCATTTGGGTCCTTTTGGGTCCATTTGGGGTCCATTTGGGGTCCATTTGGGGTCCTTTTGGGTCCTTTTGGGTCCATTTGAGTCCATTTGGGTCCATTTGGGGTCCATTTGGGGTCCATTTGGTTCCATTTGGGTCCATTTGGGTCCATTTGGGATCCAATTATGTCCATTTGGGGTCCATTTGGGTCCATTTGGGTCCATTTGGGTTCATTTGGGTCCATTTGGGGTCCATTTGGGGTCCATTTGGGTCCATTTGGATCCATTTGGGGTCCATTTGGGGTCCATTTGGGTCCATTTGGGTCCATTTGGGATCCATTTGAGATCCATTTGGGGTCCATTTGGGTCCTTTTGGGTCCATTTGAGATCCATTTGGGGTCCATTTGGGTCCATTTGCGTCCTTTTGGGGTCCATTTGGGGTCCATTTGGGTCCATTTGGGGTCAGTCTGCCTGCAGGTGGTGGTGCTGCAGTATGGGGTCCATTTGGGTCCTTTTGGGATCCATTTGGGTCCATTTGGGTCCTTTTGTGTCCTTTTGGGTCCATTTGAGTCCATTTGGGTCCATTTGGGGTCCATTTGGGTCCATTTGGGTCCAATTGGGGTCGGTCTGCCCGCAGGTGGTGGTGCTGCAGTATGGGGTCCATTTGACTCCATTTGGGTCCATTTGAGTCCATTTGGGTCCATTTGGAGTCCATTTGGGTCCATTTGGGTCCATTTGGGGTCCACTTGGGTCCATTTGGGGTCCATTTGGGGTCCATTTGGGTCCATTTGGGTCCATTTGGGTCCATTTGGGGTCCATTTGGGATCCATTTGGGGTCCATTTGGGTCCATTTGAGTCCATTTGGGTCCATTTGGGGTCCATTTGGGGTCCATTTGGGTCCATTTGGGTCCATTTGGGATCCATTTGGGGTCCATTTGGGGTCCATTTGGGTCCTTTTGGGGTCCATTTGGGTCCATTTGGGTCCTTTTGGGGTCCATTTGGGTCCTTTTGGGTCCTTTTGGGTCCATTTGAGATCCATTTGGGGTCCATTTGGGTCCTTTTGGGTCCTTTTGGGTCCTTTTGGGTCCATTTGGGTCCTTTTGGGTCCTTTTGGGGTCCATTTGGATCCATTTGGGTCCTTTTGGGTCCATTTGGGGTCCATTTGGGTCCATTTGGGGTCCATTTGGATCCATTTGGGTCCTTTTGGGCCCATTTGGGGTCCATTTGGGTCCATTTGGGTCCATTTGGGATCCATTTGGGGTCCATTTGGGTCCATTTGGGTCCATTTGGGGTCCTTTTGGAGTCTGTTTGGAGTCCGTTTGGTCCCCAGGTGGCGGTGCTCCAGTATGGGGTCTGTTTGGGGTCCATTTGGGGTCTGATGCAGACCATTTGGGGTCCTTTTGGGGTCTGTTTGGTCCCTAGGTGGTGGTGCTGCAGTATGGGGTCCATTTGTGTCCATTTGGGTCCATTTGGGGTGCATTTGGGGTCCATTTGGGGTCGGTCCGCCCGCAGGTGGCGGTGCTGCAGTTTGGGATCCATTTGGGTCCATTTGGGTCCATTTGGGGTCCATTTGGGTCCATTTGGGTCCTTTTGGGTCCATTTGGGGTCCATTTGGATCCATTTGGGTCCTTTTGGGTCCATTTGGGGTCCATTTGGGTCCATTTGGGGTCCATTTGGGTCCATTTGGATCCATTTGGGTCCTTTTGGGTCCATTTGGGGTCCATTTGGGTCCATTTGGGATCCATTTGGGGTCCATTTGGGTCCATTTGGGTCCATTTGGGGTCCTTTTGGAGTCTGTTTGGAGTCCGTTTGGTCCCCAGGTGGCGGTGCTCCAGTATGGGGTCTGTTTGGGGTCCTTTTGGGGTCTGTTTGGTCCCTAGGTGGTGGTGCTGCAGTATGGGGTCCATTTGTGTCCATTTGGGTCCATTTGGGGTGCATTTGGGGTCCATTTGGGTCCTTTGGGGTCCATTTGGGGTCGGTCCGCCCGCAGGTGGCGGTGCTGCAGTTTGGGATCCATTTGGGTCCATTTGGGTCCATTTGGGGTCCATTTGGGTCCATTTGGATCCATTTGGGTCCATTTGGGTCCATTTGGATCCATTTGGGTCCACTTGGGTCCATTTGGATCCATTTGGGTCCATTTGGGGTCCATTTGGGTCCATTTGGGGTCCATTTGGGTCCATTTGGATCCATTTGGGTCCATTTGGGTCCATTTGGGTCCATTTGGGGTCCATTTGGGTCCATTTGGGGTCCACTTGGGTCCATTTGGGTCCATTTGGGTCCATTTGGGGTCCATTTGGATCCATTTGGTTCCATTTGGGTCCATTTGGGGTCGGTCCGCCCGCAGGTGGCGGTGCTGCAGTTTGGGATCCATTTGGGTCCATTTGGGTCCATTTGGGGTCCATTTGGGTCCATTTGGGTCCATTTGGGGTCCATTTGGGGTCCATTTGGATCCATTTGGGTCCATTTGGGTCCTTTTGGGTCCTTTTGGGGTCCATTTGGATCCATTTGGGTCCTTTTGGGTCCATTTGGGGTCCATTTGGGTCCATTTGGGGTCCATTTGGGGTCCATTTGGATCCATTTGGGTCCTTTTGGGCCCATTTGGGGTCCATTTGGGATCCATTTGGGATCCATTTGGGGTCCATTTGGGTCCATTTGGGTCCATTTGGGGTCCTTTTGGAGTCTGTTTGGAGTCCGTTTGGTCCCCAGGTGGCGGTGCTCCAGTATGGGGTCTGTTTGGGGTCCATTTGGGGTCTGATGCAGACCATTTGGGGTCCTTTTGGGGTCTGTTTGGTCCCTAGGTGGTGGTGCTGCAGTATGGGGTCCATTTGTGTCCATTTGGGTCCATTTGGGGTGCATTTGGGGTCCATTTGGGGTCGGTCCGCCCGCAGGTGGCGGTGCTGCAGTTTGGGATCCATTTGGATCCATTTGGGTCCATTTGGGTCCATTTGGGTCCATTTGGGTCCATTTGGGGTCCATTTGGGGTCCATTTGGGTCCTTTTGGGTCCTTTTGGGTCCATTTGGGTCCATTTGGGTGCATTTGGGGTCCATTTGGGGTCGGTCCGCCCGCAGGTGGCGGTGCTGCAGTACGGGCAGCACGCGGTGCAGGAGTGGCCGCTGGGCCGCTACCGGACGGCAGCTGAGCTGGTGGCAGCAGCGCAGAACATCCAGCGCAGGGAAAGCAGGGAGACCAGGACGGCTGCTGCCATCCGGATGGCCTGGTGAGGGGGGGGGGGGGGGGGGGGCATTGGGATGGGGATGGGGTGGGATGGGATGGGGATGGAATTGGGACTGGGGAGGGGTTGGGGTTGGGGGTGGGATTGGGTTGGGTGGGGTTGGGATTGGATTCGGTTTGGGTTGGGATTAGAATTGGGCTGGAGCCGGGATTGGGGCTGGAATTGGACTGGTGTGGGGTTGGGATTAGGATGGATTGGGACTGAGGCTGGGTTGGACTGGGATTGGGGTTGGGGTCTGGTCAGGATTGGGGGTGGGATTGGATTGGGTTGGGGTTGGGGCTGGGGTTGGACTGGGATTGGGGTTGGGGTTGGGATTTGGGTTGGGGTCAGGTCAGAATTGGGTCTGGGGTGTTGTTAGGATTGGGATTGGGGTGAGGTTGGGGTTCGGCTGGGATTGGGGTTGGGATTGGATTCGGTTAGGATTGGGTTTGGGATGAGAGTTGGTCTGGAGTTGGGAATGGGGCTGGAATTGGACTGGTGTGGGATTGGGATTAGGATTGGGTTGGGGTTGGGATTAGGATGGATTGGGGTTGGGATTAAGGTTGGGGTTGGAATTGGGGTGGATTGGTCTGGAGATTGGGGATGGGTTGGGATTAGGATTGGGGCTGAATTGGGATTAATATTGGGATTAGGAGTGGGATTGGGCTGGGATTGGGGTTGGGGCTGGGTTGGGGTTTAGGATTAGGGTCAGGATTGGGATCAGGGGTCGGACCGGGATGAGGATTTGGGAGCAGGTTTAGGGCCGGGATTGGGATGAGGGTTGGGGCTGAATTGGGATTAATATTGGGATTGGGCTGGAATTGGGCTGGGATTGGGATTGGGGTTGGGGTTGGGGTTGGGGTTGGGATCGGGGGTCGGACCGGGATGAGGATTTGGGGGCGGGTTTCGGGCCGGGCTCGGGGCTGGGATTGGCACCGGCTCGCCGTGAGCATCGGGACGCGGCCGCCCTCGGGGCTCTGAGCGCCGCGGCCGCGCAGCTCGGAGGCGTTCAGCCCCGCTGTCGGGGGGCGGCGCGGCGCCGCGCGGCTGCTGGTGGTGCTGACCGACGGCGAGTCGCACGACGGGGAGCGGCTGCCCGCAGCGCTGCGGGTCTGCGAGAGGAACAACGTCACCAGGCTGGGAATCGCGGTGTGCGGGGCGGGGATTGGGGGGGGGGGGGGTGGGAGTGGGGGGATTGGGGTTCGGGGTTGGACTGGGGATGGGGTTGGGATTGGGGTTGGGGTGGGATTGGGATGGGGTTGGGGTTGGGAGTGGATTGGGATTGGGGGTGGGACTGGAATAGGGCTGGGATGGAGTTGAGGTTGGGTTGGGATTGCGTTGGAATGGGATTGGGATCGAGGTTGGAATTGGGATTGGATTGGGGTCAGGTCAGAGTTGGGGGTGGGGTTGGGATTGGGGGTGGGACTGGAATTAGGATGGGGATTGGGATTGGAGTGGGTTTGGGGTCAGGTGAGGGTTGGGGTTGGGTTGGGATTTGGTTGGGTCAGGATTGGGGTTGATTTGGGGTGGGTTTGTTTGGGGTTGGGATTGGGACGGGGATTTGGGTGCGTATTGGGGTTGGAGTCAGGATTGGGGTTGGGATGGGGTGGGGTTGGGTGGGGGTCGAGATTGGAATTGGGCTGGAGCTGGGAACGGGATTGGGGTTGGGGCCAGGGCAGAATGGGGATCAGAGTCGGGATTGGGATTGGGTTGGATCAGCATTGGGATTGGGATTGGGGTAATGGTGGGCTGGGATTGGGGTTGGGGTTGGGATGAGGATGGATTGGGAATGGGGTTGGAATTGGGGTTGGGTTCAGATTAGGAAAAGATTGGGGTTGGGATGAGTTTTGGGTTGCAGGTGGGATTGGGGTTGGGATCGGGATTGGGATTGGGATTGGGATTGGGATTGGGGCTGCGATGGGGTGGGATGGGGGTGGGATGGGTGGGGTGAGGTGCTGTGCTGTGCTGTGCAGTGCTGTGCAATGCGGTGCTGTGCAATGCTGTGCTGTGCAATGCAGTGCTGTGCTGTGCAATGCAGTGCGGTGCAGTGCAATGCAGTGCTGTGCTGTGCTGTGCAATGCAATGCAGTGCTGTGCTGTGCAATGCAGTGCTGTGCAGTGCTGTGCTGTGCTGTGCGATGCTGTGCTGTGCAATGCAGTGCTGTGCAGTGCTGTGCTGTGCAGTGCTGTGCAGTGCTGTGCTGTGCAGTGCTGTGCTGTGCAGTGCTGTGCAGTGCTGTGCAGTGCTGTGCAGTGCTGTGCAGTGCTGTGCTGTGCAGTGCTGTGCAGTGCTGTGCTGTGCAGTGCAGTGCTGTGCAGTGCTGTGCTGTGCTGTGCAGTGCTGTGCAGTGCTGTGCTGTGCAGTGCTGTGCTGTGCAGTGCTGTGCTGTGCAGTGCTGTGCAGTGCTGTGCAGTGCAATGCAGTGCTGTGCAGTGCTGTGCAGTGCTGTGCAGTGCAGTGCTGTGCTGTGCAGTGCAATGCAGTGCTGTGCAGTGCTGTGCAGTGCTGTGCAGTGCAGTGCTGTGCTGTGCAGTGCAATGCAGTGCTGTGCAGTGCTGTGCAGTGCTGTGCAGTGCAGTGCTGTGCAGTGCTGTGCTGTGCAGTGCTGTGCTGTGCAGTGCTGTGCTGTGCAGTGCAGTGCTGTGCTGTGCAGTGCTGTGCTGTGCAGTGCTGTGCTGTGCAGTGCTGTGCAGTGCTGTGCAATGCAGTGCTGTGCAGTGCTGTGCAGTGCTGTGCAATGCTGTGCTGTGCAATGCTGTGCTGTGCAGTGCTGTGCAATGCGGTGCTGTGCTGTGCAATGCAGTGCTGTGCTGCGCTGTGCTGTGCAATGCAGTGCTGTGCTGCGCTGTGCTGTGCAATGCAGTGCTGTGCAATGCCGTGCGGTGCAGCGCGGTGCCTTTGTTGCTGCAGGTTCTCGGCCATTACCTGCGGCGGCAGCGCAGCCCTGCGCAGTTTGTGCGCGAGATTCGCTCCATCGCCAGCCGCCCCGCGCTTTTCTTCAACGTCAGCGACGAGCGCGCGCTGCGCGGCATCGTGGGCGCCCTGGGGGATCGAATCTTCAGCCTCGAGGGTCGGACGGGACGGCGGCGCGGGGACACGGGGACAGGGGGACAGGAGGACAGGGGGACACAGCCCCATAGGGACACAGACCTATAGAGATACGGCCCCATAGGGACACGGCCCTATAGAGACACAACCCCATAGGGACACAGGCATACAGGGACACGACCCCATAGGGACACAGACCTATAGAGATACAGCCCCATAGGGACACAGGCTTACAAGGACACAGCCCCATAGAGATATGGCCCCATAGGGACACATGCCCTGTAGGGACCCAGCCCCATAGGCACAGACACACAGAGCCCAACCCATTGAGATACAACCCCATAGAGACTGCCCCATAGGGACAGCCCCACAGACTGCCCCATAGAGCCCAACCCGTAGAGACAAAGCCCCAAGGACAGCCCCACAGAGCCCACCCCATAGAACCCACCCCATAGACACATGGCCCCATAGAGACACATTCCCAACCTTGCCCCATAGGCCCCCCAAAGTCGACCCCATAGCGATGCAGCCCCAAATCAGCCCCTGCAGTGACAGGAACCCCAAACCGACCCCATAGAGACGCAGAGGCCCCGCGGTGCCGCGTGTGGGGTGACCCCATAAGGCTGTGACCCCACAGGGACCCACGGGGACAACGGCAGCGCCTTCGCCTTGGAGATGGCACAGAGCGGCTTCTCCGTTCACCCCCTGCAGGTGTGGGGTGGATTTGGGATCGGGGTTCGGGGTCAGGATCTGGGGGCAGGAGGGGGGATGCAATATGGGATCGGGGTTGGGGTTGGGTTCAGGATATGAGGTCGGGATGTGGGATCAGGTTTGGGGATTGATTGTGGAGATGGGATTTGGGGTCGGGATGTGGGATCTGGATTTGGAGTTGGGTTGGAATGTGGGGTTGAGATCGAGATTTGGGATGGGGATTTGGGGTCGGGATGTGAGGTTTGGGATTTGGGGTCAGCGATGTGCAGTTGGGATGTGGGGCTGAGATCAGGAATGGGGATTTGGGGTTTGGACATAGGGTTGGGATACGGGGTTGGGATTTGGAGTCAGGATTTGGGGTTGGGATGTGAGGTTTGGGATACGGGGTTGGTGTTTGGGGTTGAGATTTGGGTTCAGGACTTGGGGCCAGGGCTTGAGATTGGGATATGGGGTTTGGGATACGGGGTCAGGGATACGAGATTGGAATTTGGGGTTGAGGTCAGGATTTGGGGTTGGTGTTTGGTGTTGGAATTTGGGGTTGGGATACGGGATAGGGATGTGGGGTCAGGTTGTGGGGTCAGGTTATGGGGCCAGGATGTGAGGTCAGGTTATATTGTCAGGTTATGGGGCCAAGATGTGGGGTTGGGTTATGGGGTCAGGTTATGGGTCTGGGATATGGGGTCAGGTTATGGGCTCAGGTTATGGGGCCAGGGTGTGGGGTCGGGATGTGAGGTCAGGTTATTATTGTCAGGTTTTGGGACCAGGATGTGGGGTCAGGTTGTAGGGTCAGGTTATAGGGACAGGTTATGGGGCTGGGATGTGAGCTCAGGTTATAGGGTCAGGTTATGGGGCTGGGATGTGGGCTCAGGTTTTGGGGCCGGGATTCGGGGCCGCCCCGCGGCCGTGGGGTTTCCTGCCCGCACGTTGTGCTGTGAGGCCGCGCGCCCCACAGCGCCGCCCCCCCCACAGGACGGGATCCTTTTCGGGGCCGTGGGCGCCTACGACTGGGACGGGGCGGTGCTGGAGGAGAGCAGCCGCGGGCGCAGCGTCCCCACGCGGGAGCGGCTCCGCAGCCAGTTCCACACCGGGCCGGAGAAGCACGCGGCCTACCTGGGTACGGGGCGGGCGGGGGGCTGCGGGGAGCTGGGAATGCGGGGCAAGCGGGGGCTGGAAGCGCCGCACGGCTGTGCGGGGTGGGGGTGCTCGGCGCCATGGGGCGGCACTGGGCGCTGTGGGGCGGGGATGCTCGACGCTGTGGGGCAGCACTGGGCGCTATGGGGCAGCTCTGGACGCTATGGGGCAGCTCTGGGCACTATAGGGTAGCGGTGGGCGCTATGGGGCAGGGATGCTCAGTGCTATGGGGCGGCACTGGGCGCTGTGGGGTGGGGATGCTCGACGCTATGGGGAAGCACTGGACGCTATGGGGCGGCACTGGGCGCTGTGGGGCAGCACTGGGCACTGTGGGGCAGCTGTGGGCGCTGTGGGACAGGGATGCTCGACGCTGTGGGGCAGCACTGGACGCTATGGGGCAGCTCTAGGCACTATAGAGTAGCGGTGGGCGCTATGGGGCATGGATGCTCAGCGCTATGGGGCGGCACTGGGCGCTGTGGGGCAGGGATGCTCGGCACTGTGGAGCAGCTCTGGGCACTATGGGGCGGCACTGGGTGCTGTGGGGTGGGGATGCTCAGCACTATGGGGTGGCACTGGGCACTGTGGGGCGAGGATGCTCGGTGCTGTGGGGCAGCACTGGGCGCTATGGGGCGGCACTGGGCGCTGTGGGGCGAGGATGCTCGGTGCTGTGGGGCAGCACTGGGTGCTATGGGGCGGCATTGGGCGCTGTGGGGCGGCACTGGGCACTGTGGGGCGAGGATGCTCAGCGCTATGGGGCAGCACTGGGCGCTATGGGGCAGCACTGGGCGCTGTGGGGCGGGGATGCTCGGCACTGTGGAGCAGCACTGGGCGCTATGGGGCAGCACTGGGCACTGTGGGGCGGGGATGCTCGGCGCTATGGGGCAGTTCTGGGCGCTGTGGGGCGGGGATGCTCAGCGCTATGGGGCGGCACTGGGCGCTGTGGGGCGGGGATGCTCAGCGCTATGGGGCAGCACTGGGCACTATGGGGCGGCACTGGGCGCTGTGGGGCGAGGATGCTCGGTGCTGTGGGGCAGCACTGGGCGCTATGGGGCGGCACTGGGCGCTGTGGGGCGGGGATGCTCGGCGCTGTGGGGCAGCACTGGGCGCTATGGGGCGGCACTGGGCGCTGTGGGGCGGGGATGCTGAGCGCTATGGGGCAGCACTGGGCGCTATGGGGCGGCACTGGGCGCTGTGGGGCGGGGATGCTCGGCGCTGTGGGGCAGCTGCGGGCCGCCCGCAGGTTACGCGGTGTCGGCGCTGCTCTTTGCCGACGGGCGGCGGCTGCTGGTCGGCGGAGCGCCGCGGTTCCGCCATCGCGGGGCGGTGCTGCTGTTCACCATGGGAGCCGGCGGGGCGCTGAGAGCCGAGCAGACGCTGAGAGGGGAGCAGGTGGGGCAGCACGGGGGCGTGGGGCTGTGGTGGGGTTGTTGTGGGGTTGTTATGAGGTTGTCATTGGGGCTGTTGTCGGGTTGTTATGAGGTTGTTATTGGGGTTGTTGTGGGGTTGTTATTGGGGCTGTTATGGGGCTGTGTTATTGGGGTTGTTGTGGGGCTGTGTTATTGGGGTTGTTATTGGGGTTGTTATTGGGGTTGTTGTGGGGCTGTGTTATTGGGGGTTGTTATTGGGGCTGTTGTGGGGCTGTTGTGGGGTTATGGTGTTAAGGGATTATGGGATTATGGGGCTACGGCGTTCTGGGGTTGGGATTGAAGGGTTGGGGTTATGAGGTTGAGTCGGGTTGGGGTCAGAGTTGTAGGTCTGCGGTTATGGGGTTGGGGTGGGGTTCTGAGCTGCGGGGCGCTGCGGGGCTGCCGGCTGTCAGCGCAGTGACGCGGCGGCGCGGCGCAGCTCGGCTCGTATTTCGGCAGCGAGCTGTGCGTGCTGGACGCGGACGGCGACGGCAGCAGCGACGTCCTGCTGGTGGCTGCGCCCAACTTCCTGGGGGAGGGCGGCAGGGAGACCGGCAGGGTGCACGTGTACGGTGTGGGGCCGGTGAGTGGGGCGGGGGTCCGGGGGGGTTGGAGATGCGGGGGAATTGGGGGACGCGGTGGGGTTGGGGGGACGGCAGTGGGGTTGGGGGGTGCAGGGAGGTTGGGGGGGACGCGGGGGGGTTGGGGGGACGCGGAGGGTCGGGGTGCGGTGACACTGGGGGCACGGAGGGGTTGAGGAGCTGCAGTGGGGCTGTGGGCGCTGTGGGGCTGCGAGTTTGGTGGGGCACCGTGGGGCTGTGGGCGCTGTGGGGCTGAGAGGCGCGGTGTGGTGCCGTGGGGCTGTGGGGCTGTGGGGCGCAATGGGGTGCGTTGGGGCAGCAGCCCTGCGGGGCGCAATGGGGGGCAGTGGGGGGCGATGGGGCGCAGTGGGTTGCAGTGGGACACAATGGGGCAGCAGCGCTGTGGGTCGCAGTGCGGCAGCAGTGCAGTGAGGCGCAGTGGGTCGCAGTGGGTCGCAGCGGGTCTCTGTGGCGGCAGCGCGCCGTGCGGGCGGTGTCGGCGCTCTCCCCGGCGGCCCAATGGGACGCGCGGTTCGGCGCGGCGCTGGCGGCGCTCCCCGACGTGAACGGCGACGGCTGGGCGGACGCGGCGGTGGGCGCCCCGTTGGAGGACGGGCATCGCGGCGCCGTTTACGTTTTCCACGGCACCGCGGGAGCCGTGCGGCCGCGCCACGCGCAGGTGGGCGGGGGAACCCGGAGCCCAGCCGAAAACCCCGCAGCCCCCAAAGCCCCGTAAACGCCGTCAGCCCACAGCCCCAGTAACTCCGTAGCCCCCGAAGCCCCATAACCTGCATGGCCCCACAGCCCTCGAAACCCCAAAATTCCCATAGTCGCCAAAATTCCCATAGTCGCCATAGACCCCACAGCCCCCATAAACGCCATAACCCCGCAGCCCCCATCACCCCACAGCCCCCATAACCCCATAGTCCCCATAAGCGCCATAGCCCCATAAACACCATAACTCCACAGCCCCCATCACCCCACAGCCCCCATCACCCCGCAGCCCCCATCACCCCGCAGCCCCCGTAACCCCACCGCCCCCATCACCCCTCGTCCCGCAGCGCATCGCAGCGGCGGAGCTGAGCTCAGGGCTGCGTTACTTCGGGCGCAGCGTTGATGGCCGGGCGGAGCCGGACGGGAGCGGCGTGGCGCTGGCGGTGGGCGCCCAGGGGGCGGCGGTGCTGCTGCGGTCAGTGGGGAGGGGGGGCGGCACTGGGGCGGGATGCTGGGTGCTATGGGGCGGCAGCGGGGCGGGATGCTGGGTGCTATGGGGCGGCAGCGGGCCGGGATGCTGGGTGCTATGGGGCGGCACTGGGGCGGGATGCTGGGTGCTATGGGGCGGCACTGGGCCGGGATGCTGGGTGCTATGGGGCGGCACTGGGGCGGGATGCTGGGTGCTGTTGGGCGGCAGCTGGGTGGGGTGCTGGGTGCTGTTGGGCGGCAGCTGGGTGGGGTGCTGGGTGCTATGGGGCGGGATGTTGGGATGGGGGTGCTGGATGCTGTGGGGCGGCAGCGGGGCAGGATGCCGGGCGCCTCCCCACCCCATATGGGCACCCCATAGCGGCAGCCCATGGCAGCGCCCCATAAGGACCCCCCCCCGTCGCCCCCGGTTCCCGCAGCTCCCGCCCGGTGCTGCGCCTGGACGTTTCTGTCTCGGTGGTTCCGGCCGCCATCAGCGTGGTGCAGAAGAACTGCCGCCGAGGAGCCGCCGCCGCCGTCTGCATCCGCGGCAGCGCCTGCTTCCGGAGCGCCGTGCGGGGCCGGGCGGGGCGGGGAGACGTCGGTGAGCGGCGGGGGCGGACGGAGGCGGTGGGGGGGGGGAGCGGGGCCGGCAGCGCCGGGGGTCCCGCAGCTGAGCGCTATGGCGGCGCCCGCGGTGTCCCTGAGTGACCCCGCAGCGCCCCGTGGGGCAGAGCCGCTACACCTGGGGGTGTCCCCCGACCCCACGTGACCCCCCGACCCCACGTGACCCTCTGACCCCGCTGACCCCCCAACTCACCCTGACCTCGCTGACCCCCAGCTGACCCCCTGACCCCTTCTGACCCCCAACCTCTCGACCCTTTTGACCCCAGCTGACCCCCACTGACCCCCGACCCCAGCTGACCCCTCCTATCCCCCCCGACCCCTTCGGGCCCCTCCCACTGACCCCCCGTTCCCTCTGCGACCCCCCCCGACCCCCGCCTCCTTCCCGCCCCCCGCCCGCAGTCCTGCACTTCAACGCCTCCCTGGATGACGGCGCCGTTCGCTCTCGCGCTGCCTTCGATTCGGGCTCCCGGCGGCTGCGGAGTCGCCTGGATCTGCCGTTGGGGCAGCGGCGCTGCGCCCAAATCCCCTTCCACGTCCTGGTGAGCGCCGGCCGGGGGTCCCCGACCCCCCACCCCCCCCCACCCCCCCCCACCCCCCGGCCGTCCCCCGGGGCCCCCCGTCCCACCCGCGGGGTCTCCCGTCCCCCCCCAGGACACCGCGGAGTTCCTGCGTCCCCTCACCCTCACGCTGCGCCTGGCGCTGCCCGACCCCGCGGGACCGGCGCTGGACGAGGGCTCCCCGAGCGTCATCCGCACGCAGGTGGGCGGGGGGCCGGGGGGGGGGCGTGGGGGGGGCGTGGGGCCGGTGTCCCCGCGGGGTGACGGCGGTGTCCCCTCCCCCCCCAGATCCCCTTCTTCAAGGACTGCGGGGAGGACGACGTGTGCGTCACCGACCTGGTGCTGCGCGCCACCATGCAGCCCCTGGGCGCCGGGTACGGGGTGTCCCCAACGTGTCCCAAATGTGTCCCCATGTGTCCCCAGTGTGTCCCTTACATGTCCCCATCGTGTCCCTATCGTGTCCCCTACATGTCCTAAATGTGTCCCCAACGTGTCCCTTACATGTCCCCAGTGTGTCCCAAACGTGTGTCCCCATCGTGTCTCCTACATGTTCCCCGTGTGCCCCCAGTGTGTCCCAAAAATGTCCCCGATGTGTCCCCGTTGTGTCCCCCGTGTGTCCCCTACATGTCCCCCTTGTGACCCCAACATGTCCCAAAAGTGTCCCTGATGTGTCCCCAACGTGTGCCCTACATGTCCCCCATGTGTCCCCATCGTGTCCCCCATGCGTCTCCAACGTGTCTCCAAAGTGTCCCAAACGTGTCCCCAGCGCGTCCCCACGGCACCCCACTGTTGTCCCCGAGGAATCTCCACTATGTCCCCAAGTTGTCCCCAGTGACCCCGGGACTCCACACTCCCCGTGGCGTCCTCGAGTCCCTGTGGTGTCCCTGCAGTATCCCCAGGATGTCCCCAAAGCTCCCTGCAGTGTCTCCAGCGTGTCCCCATGCTGCTCTAACGAGGTGTTCCCAAGGTGTTCCCATCCCCGCGGTGTCCCCGCATTCCGTCACGCAGCCGCTTTGTCCCCTCAGCGGCGCTCCCGGCGTGGTGCGGGGCGGCCGCCGGAAGGTGCGCGTGGAGGCGGCGCTGCAGAACCGAAAGGAGAACGCGTACAACGCGCGCCTGGCGCTGCGCTCCTCCGCCAACCTGCACTTCTCCAGCATGGCGCTGCCGGTACGAGCGGGGACCCCCGCGACCCCCGGCGGGAGGAAGGGGCCGCCCGCACGGCGCGGACGCGCGGAGCCGTTTGGATGCGTTCGATCCCGGCCCGTGGCGGCGGGGATGTGGGGCGCGCGGTGCGGGGGGCTGCGGGGATCCCAGCCGGGAGGTGGGAAAGCGGCGATCGCAGCTGGAAAACGAGGACGCGGTGATCGCGGTAGGAAAACGGGAAGCCGCTGATCCCGGCTGGGAGGCGAGGAGCCGCCGGTCCCAACGAGGGATGCGGTGATGCGGCGGGGCTGCGGTGACGCGCCGGTACCGGCGGGGAGGAGGCACCCGTTGATCCCAGCGGGGAGATGAGGCCCCGTTGCCGCATCGCAGCCGTGCGTTCAGCCCCCGGTGCCCCCGGAGCCCCAACCCCGCCCCACGCCGTGCGGCTCCCCGCAGGATGGCAGCGCAGTGAAGCTGGAGTGCGCGGCGCTGGGGGAGCATCAGCAGCTGTGCAGTGTGGGTTACCCCGTGTTCCGCTCCATGGCCAAGGTAGGAGCCTGGGCTCCCCCGGGTCCCCCCACCCCGACCCCCAGCGCCCTTCACCGCCGCCCCCCCCCCAGGTGGTCTTTGCGCTGGAGTTTGAGTTCAGCTGCTCTGTGCTGCTCAACCGAGTGGAAGTGGCACTGGAGGCCACCAGGTAGGGGATGGTGACAACGCCAACGCCCCCCCGCGGCTACGGGGCGTTTTGGGGGTCCCTCAATTCCCGGATCCCCCCCGCAGCGACAGCACCGAACCCAACGCGACGCTGTGGGACAACGCGGTGCTGCTCTCTGCTCCCATCCGCTACGAACCCGACCTCTTCCTGTCCAGGTAAAGCGGGCGCTGTGGGGTGGGGGGGGGTTTCCGTGAGGTTGGGGGGATCTGCAGGGCCGCCCCCCACCCGCCGTGCTCCCGCAGCGAGGCCACCCTGCACCGCTACGAGGTGCACCCGCACGGCACCTTCCCGCACGGCCCCGGCCCCGAATTCAGAACCACGGTGAAGGTAACGGCGGTGGGGCGGGGGGAGAGGACGGGGGGGTGGGGAGGAGGATCTCACCCAGTGCCCCGTCCGTCCCCCCGGCCCCCAGGTGCAGAACTTGGGCTGCTTCGCGGTGCGGGACGTGACGCTGCGCCTGGCGCTGCCGTCCTTGGGCTACGGCCGCGTTCCGTTCCTGTCGGTCACCGGAGTGCGGGCGGAGAACGTGAGCGAGCGCCGGAGGGGGGAAGGGGAGGAGACGGGAGGGGAAGAGGGTCCCGCAGCCCTACGCTGAGCGCTGACCCCCCCAACCCCCCCCGCACGTCCCCAGGCCACGTGTGAGCTGCGCGACCCCCCCAACAGCAGCGTGACGGCCGTGCATCCCGCGGATCTGCAGCGCGTGGGGAGGATGGTGAGGGCGGCCGGTGGGGATTCGGGCCCCCGGGGGGAGGCGGGGGGGGGTCCGTGCCCCCTGCCCCATCTCCGTGCCCCCGTAGGACTGCAGCAACGCGTGGTGCCGGGAGCTGAGCTGCGCCTTGGGGCGGCTGCAGCGGGGCCACGGCGTCGCCGTTCACGTCCTCCGAGCGGTGCACAACGACTTCTTCCGAGCGGTGAGGGGGGGGAGGGGACGCCCCGCGAGCCCCATCCCAAAGGGGGACGCGGTTTGGGGGGGTCGTGCCTTGAGACCCCGCGTTCGTTCCGCTCCGTGCAGGCGACGTTCAGCAGCGTGCGGATCGTCAGCACCGCGACGCTGAGCGCGGCGGGCAGCGCAGTGCTGCTGCTGGATGAGGGCGCGCATCGGAGCGAGGTGCGGGAACCGGGGGGGCACCGGCGGGGGGGGGGCACGGGGAGCTGGGGAGCTCCGGGGGCAGGGAGATACCGGGATGGGGAACACCGGGAGGAGGGGGGAACCGGGAAGGAGGGGCATGGGGAGCTGGGGGGCGCGGGGAGGAGGGCTGAGGCTGCGGAAGCCGCCCCCCCCCCCGCTTCCCCCCGCCACGGCCGCCGCCCGTTCCACAGACGGAGCTGGAGGTGCTGCGGGAGCGGCGCGTGCCCGTGTCGCTGTGGATCCTGGTGGGCAGCGCGCTGGGGGGGCTGCTGCTGCTGGCGGCCATCAGCGTCTGCCTGTGGAAGGTGCGTGGGGGGCCGCGCTGGGGGAGCGTGGTCCCCGCTGCCCCCCTTCACCCTCTCCTCCCGTCCTCGCCCTCTGCTCCGTCGTCTCCCTTCATCCTCGCCCTCTCACCTGTGCTCGCCCTCTCTCCGTCCTCTCCCCGTCCTCTCCCCCTCCTCACTCCCGCATCCCCTCCCCCCATTCCGTCCTCCCCCATCCTCTCCCTTTCCCCATTCCTCGCCGTCCTTCCTCCCCCTCTCCCCTTCTCTCATCTTCCCCACCTCTCCCCATCCCTCTCCCCTCATCCCCTCCCTCTCCTCCTTCTCTCCCCACCTCACCCCCACCCCCCCTCCCCCCAGTTCGGTTTCTTCACCCGCAAGAAGCCCCACGAGGAGGAGGAGGAGGAGCAGTGATGGCCCCGCGCTTCCCACCGGCCCGCAGCCCCACGGAGGAGCTGTGCCCCCTTCTTCCCCCCCCCCCCAGCGCTGGGGCCGCCCCACGGGTTCCGCACGATGGAACGGAGCGGCGATGGCGGTGCGGGGACGGCGCCGGGCACGGACAGGGCGCGGGGAGGAGCGGGGCAGAGGAGGAGCCGCATCCCGCATCGCCGCCGTGGGGTGAGGGGCAGAGGGGGACGGGGCGATGCCAGCGGTGGGGGTGAGCAGAACCAATAAACGCCGCCCACCCCGACGCTCCCTGTGTGCCACAAATGCTTCCCGGTCCTTTCCATTCCATTCCCACCCTATCCCCATCCTCTCATCCCATCGCATCCCATTCCTATCCTTATTCCCATTCCATCTCCCCCAATCCCATTCCCATCCCATCTGATCCCATTTCCATCCTTATTTCCTATCCCATCCTTATCCCACCCCCACCCCCATCCCGTCTCTTTCCATCCCATCCCGTCTCTTTCCATCCCATCCCGTCTCTTTCCATCCCATCCCATCCCATCCCATCCCATCCCATCCCATCCCCTCCCCTCCACCCATCCCATTCCCTCCCTCCCCCCCGGACCTTTGGCCGGCCCTGCTGCCCTCCCGCACCGCCCTGAAGGGCGACAGCCGCAGCGTGGGGGGCTCATGGGGTGCCGACCCCCCCCGGCACGGAGCACCGCAGGCGGCGCAGCCCCGCGCCGGTCGTTAGAAAGGCCTTTATTGGACATCATCGCAAACCGTCGGCGCGGGGACCCGTCGGGGCCGTACAAACGGGGCTTCCTTTGGGCCGGGATGCGACGGAAGCGCCGAAATAAAAGGACAGAGAGCGGAGCAACGAGCGGCTCTTCCGCGGCTCTGCGCCGTCTGGGCGGTCCGGGATGCGCAGCGCCTGGGGGCTGCGATGCTCCGCGGGGGGACGGAGGGGGAGACACGGAGAGACCGGGGGGCGTGGATGGGCACCGAGCTGAGCCAGGGACGGGGACAGACGTGGGGGCGCGGACAGACCCAAGGCCACGGACGGACCCGGGGACGCGGATGGACCCGAAGGGCGCCGACGGACCCGGGGACGTGAATGGACCCGGAGACAGACGGACCCGGGGACAAGACGGACCCTCGGACACGGATGGACCCAAAGAGCGCAGACAGACCCGGGGCGCGGATGGAGCCGCGGAGCAGGAAGGGAGCGGGGAAGGGAGCCGCGGCACAGCGCCGCCGCGCCCGCCGCCCCCCGCCCGGAGCCGCTCCGTCCCTTCGCCCACGGAACGCGGCCGCGGCTCCCCCCCGCCCCGCGGAGCTCCGCCCGCCCCGTCACGGGGTTCGGAGCCGCCCGCGGCGCCCGGACGTTCCGTGTTCCGGAGCGGAGGCGCCGCTCGCCGAGCCGCGACGCGCCCGGGGCCGCCGGACGGGCGGCTCGGGGATCGGACGGCGCGACTCCGCCGGAGCCGCCGGGCGGCAGCGGGCGGAGCGTCAGAACGTCCACCGCTCCCGGCTCTGGCTGTCGCCGCCGGAGCCGCCGCCCGGCGCGGGGCCGTGCGAGTGCCGCGAGGAATCCTCGCCGCTCAGGCTCTTCCTGCACACCGGGCACGTGTCGTGCTGCGGGGGGAGGCGGGGGCTGAGCGGGCGGCGCGGGGCCGCGGCCGCGGGGACCCCGGAGGGCGCTTCTTACCAGCTCCAGCCAGGGCACGATGCAGCCGCCGTGGAAGAAGTGGTTGCACGGCAGCTGCCGCACCTGCTCGGCCACCGCGTAGTCCTCCTTGCACACCGGGCACTCCAACCCCGTGTCTGCGGAGCCCCGGGCGGGGAGCGGCGCTCGGAGGCGGCTCTCCTCGTCCCGCCCGCGCCGCGAGCGCCGCCCCCGGGCGACGGCGGAGAGGCGGCGGCGCGCACGGGGAGGAGCCGCGCCTCCCGAACCCCCCCGGAACGCGGACACCCACCGACTTGATCCTGAGTCACCGCCACCGTCGGCAGGGAGGAGATCTTCTCTTTGTCGGCCGGGGGCGGCCCCGTGTTCTCCAGCTGCCCCAGGAGCTGCGCGGGCACGAAATGAGGCGTGGGGCACAGAACGGTGTGGGGCACAGGATGAAGTGTGGGGCACAGGACGAGGTGTGGGGCATAGGATGAGGTGTGGGGCATAGGATGAGGTGTGGGGCATAGGATGAAGTGTGGGGCACAGGACGAGGTGTGGGGCATAGGATGAGGTGTGGGGCACAGGACGAGGTGTGGGGCATAGGATGAGGTGTGGGGCACAGGATGAGGTGTGGGGCACAGGATGAAGTGTGGGGCACAGGACGAGGTGTGGGGCACAGGATGAGGTGTGGGGCACAGGATGAGGTGTGGGGCACAGGATAAGGTGTGGGGCACAGGATGAGGTGTGGGGCACAGGATGAAGTGTGGGGCACAGGACGAGGTGTGGGGCACAGGACGAGGTGTGGGGCACAGGACGAGGTGTGGGGCACAGCTCGGCAGCCACAGTGGAGCAGGGGCTGCATCCCAGCGCTGCCCCACAGCACAGTGAGGGGCGCCACACAGCAAAGCTCCTCGCCCCGAAGCGTGAGCTGGGGGGGCCCATCTCCCAGCTGTAACGGGATGGGATCTGATCTATGGGGCCCGGCTCCCAGCTCGGATGGGCCAAGATCTATGGGTCGTCATCTCCAAGCTGGGATCTCTGGGTCCACATCCCTCATCTGGAATCTATGGGTCCTCATCTCCGAACTGGGATGGGATCTATGGGTCTTCATTGCCCGGCTGAGCGGGATGGGCTCAGATCCGCGCCCTGCGCCCGCCTCCAAATCGGGATGCACGAATCCCCACCTCCCAGCTGGGACCTACGGGCCCCCATCCCCAAACCGGGACCTCTGGGTCTCCATCGCCCAGCTGGGCTGGATGGGGATCACGGGGCTCTCATTTGCTCCCAGCTCCGCGCCCCACAGGCAGAGGATGGGAGGAGGAAGCCGTGGGTCAGACGAGGGACTCGTCCCGCTGGGAGCAGCCGGCCGTGGCACAACAGCAGCGGCAGCACAGGAGCTCCTGGAGCACAGCGCTGCCCGGCCCCTGCCCCACCGCAGCCCCTTCCCCACCGCAGCCCCTTCCCCACCCCCTCCCCAGCGCCGCGGCTCCCAGAGGGGCGCTTTGTGGACGGCCCAGGACACGCAGGCACACAGCCAGCACTGCAGGCGACGGCTCTGCAGCACTGAGCAGCGCTCACCTGCGTGACGATGGCGTCGAGGCCGCTCTGTCCCCACGCGTAATCGCCAGGGTTGGAGTGCAGCATCCCGCTCCTGTGGATGCAGCGTGATGTGGGGTGACGTGGCAGGGATGCAGCTTGATGCGGTGTGGGTGCAGTGAGGTGCAGTGATGTGGATGCAGTGAGGTGCAGTGATGTGGATGCAGTGATGTGGATGCAGTGTGGTGCAGTGTGGATGCAGTGTGGTGCAGTGAGGGCGCAGTGATGTGGATGCAGTGATGTGGATGCAGTGCGGTGCAGTGCTGTGGGTGCAGTGTGGTGCAGTGATGTGGATGCAGTGTGGGTGCAGCGTGGGTGCAGTGTGGTGCAGTGATGTGGATGCAGTGTGGGTGCAGTGTGGGTGCAGTGTGGATGCAGTGATGTGGGTGCAGTGCGGTGCAGTGATGTGGATGCAGTGATGTGGGTGCAGTGCGGTGCAGTGCAGTGCAGTGCGGTGCAGTGCGGTGCCGTGTGCTCAGCAAACAGCCCTGCACGGCCCCAGCCTCCCACTGCAGACTCGCAGCCGCACTGGGGGCAAATGGGAAGAGTGGCTCCCAGGCCCCGGGCAGCCGCTGTTTGCTGCGGTTCTTACCGCTGTTTTTACCGGTGTGCAGTGGCGCACAGGTGCCGGCAGAGGGCCGGGGCGAAGGCAGGCGCAGTACTCACCATGAGAACGGGTGCTGTGAGCCGGGAATGGCCGAGTTGGCGAAGAAGCCCGCGAAGATCTGCTGGATGATGCTGGGGAGGGAAGCGGGAAGGGCCGAGCTGAGCCACCGCAGCATCACAACTGCGGCCGGCAGCCGTCTGCAGAAGGGACACAGCGAGCAGGGGGTGCATGCAGGGTGCATGCAGCCTGGACACAGTCTGGATGCAGTGTGGATGTGGTACGATGCAGCATGGATGCAGCATGGATGCAGCAGGGATGCAGCATGGATGCAGCAGGGATGCAGCAGGGATGCAGCAGGGATGCAGGGTGATGCAGCAGGGATGCAGGGTGATGCAGCACTGCAGGAGGGGGCGGCGCCCCACACCCTGCCCTCCCCGCCCCCCTCCCACCGCCCCCCGGCCACATGCACCACATGCATGGGCTCAGAGGCCCCACGGCGCCCCCAGACCGCAGCGCCCCACAGCCAGGACCCCCCAGCGCCCCCCGGCCGGGGGATTCGTACCCCTCAATGGCCGGGGAGCGGTCGGGCCGGGAGCTGCCCCGGGAGCGGAACCTGCGCGCCATGGGCAACCGCGGCGGCCGGCTCGGCCCCCAGAGCTCGGCGTGGGCCTGGTGGCCCCGCTCGTTGTCTCTGCCGTCCTGGTCCAGAGAGCCGCCGCTCAGGAAGGGTCTGAAGTCGGGAAAGAACATGGTGTGGTCCAAGTGGTCCCAGAGCTGCGCGAGAGGGGAACGCGACGCGTCACGCGGCGCCGCTGGCGGCGCTCCGCTCCTCCCTGCCACCCCAAAGCCCCCCGTGGGACAACACACCTCTGCAAACTGCGCCGAAGGGCCGTCCTCCAGGCCACCGCCGTCCAGGAAACTGCGGGGGAACGGACGGTCGGGGGGGGTCTCCGAAACCAAAGCAGGGATGGAGGGGAGGGCAGGAGGGGCGCGAGGGGCACAAAGAGCGGGGGGGGAACCTGAGCGCAGCACGGGGGGGCGGGGACACGGAGGGGGAGGAACGGATCCCAGCTCCGGGGGGGTTGGGAGGCGGAGTGGGGAAGGAGGGGAGGGCGCTGATGGCGGCTCAGCGCGGCCCCTTTTGCCGCGGCAGCTCCCCGTCGCCCCTCAGCACCGCACGCACCTGGAATCCTCTGTCACCTCCTCGATGAAGCCGGACTCGCACCTGGGGCACGTGTACTCCTGGGGGGAGGAGGAGGACGGGCTGAGCCGTGTGACGCCAGCACAGCGGGACGGAGCCCGGCCCGCAGCCACGCAGCGCCGCCAGAGCGCGGAGCCAAGGGGGGCGCAGCCGCGTGCTGCAGCACGGACCGGGGCTGCCTCAGAGCGGGCGGGGGGCTGCGACGCTGCGGTGAGGGGCGCCGCGGCACGGCTCAGCCACGCGCAGCTCTGCCCGACCCCTTTGCGATGCTTCTCTTTGAGCGTGAAGCCTCCTGGGAACCATTGGGATGAACAGAGGCAGAGGGGTGAGAAGGGGAAGCGCTGAGCTGCAGCGGCTCCGTGTCAGACTGGGCTGGGAGCGACGCCCGTGGGCGCAGGGTGGGCGCAGGGTGGGCGCAGGGTGGCAGTGCTGCACATGGGCGCAGGGTGGGCTGTCCAGAGAGCGCCAGCAGCACTGCACAGCTGCAGCCACACCTGAGCCCGGGGCTCTGCAGGCAGCCGGCAGCAGCGGCACTGGGCGCAGCTCCCTGGTGCACGGCCGGAACAGGCAGCAACTCACACGTGTTCTGGACTGAGAAGCGAGCGAAGCTGCTTTGGAGCAGAACGCGCCGAGCAAAGCCGAGTGGGTCAGAAGGCGGAACAGCAGCCGGCAGCGCCGTGCCCTTCTCGCCTGCACCCCCCTCAGCACCGAGATGGAGCAGAGCAGAGCAGAGCAGAGCAGACACCCCACGCCCAGCTGCCTTCCTCCCCCGCAGCACAACGCGCCGTCCCGGGCTGCCAGCAGGACGCGGAGCAGAGCAGCAGCACGACGTCCCTCCGCCACCGTCAGCACCGCCGTTTGCCGCCGATCCGCTCCGCCCGCCCCCGCTGTGCGCTTCCTCCCCGGGAGCAGCCGGCATCGCCCTCCCCCGGGCCGCGCTGCCCCGCTCGGCTCCGCGTCCCTCGCTGCGTGCGGATGGCAGGCAGGCAGGGGCCGCTTCGCCCTCGAGGGCAGAGCACCCGGCGGGGACGGCGGTTCGCAGTGAGGGCCGCTGACCTCGGCAGGGCGCAGGGCAGGGATGGGGCGAAGGAGCCGACGGCGGCTCCTGGGCTCGGCCCATCTCGGCCACCACCGCTGTCCCCCGCGACCCCGAGCCCCCCGTGCTGCACGGCGCTCCCCAAAGCCATCGCTGCGCAAACTGCAGCCCCGGCTCCGAGCGCTCCGTTTGGAGGACAGCGGGAAGGAGCAGCTTTGGGGAGGACACACGGAGCGGCACCGGGGCTCAGAGGTGCCCCGTCGCCGTTCCACCTCCACCCCACCGCCAGCAGAGCAGGACGCGGAGCTGCGAGGGGCGCAGCGCTCAGTTCACACGGACGGCTGCAGAGCGACGCGTGCCCTGAGCTCAGCACAGCGGGTGCTTCCCACCGCAACGGGGCACAGAGCCCCGAGCGCAGCCAGAGCCCAACCACCCGCACAGCCCCAACCACCCGCACAGCCCCAACCACCCGCACAGCCCGAGCACGCAGAGCTCAGGACACTCGCGCAGCCCCAATCCCGGCGCTCTGGAAGCAGAAAGTGGAGCAGAGCACGCCAGGAGAGCCGAGCCGGCCGTCCTCCCCCCCACACACCGAGGATGCGGCGGCCTCCTTCCCACCCGCGGCGCCGGATCCCGATTTAGAAGCAGAGGAACCCGCGGGCGGCAGCCGGGCCGTGCCGGGGAAGGTCCGCCCGGGGGGCGCTCGGCACCGCGGCCGCACGACGCGCTCCGCACGCACGCGGGGGCTCCGCGGGGACGGAGGGGTCGAGCGGCTCCCGCACGGCGCTCCTCCTCACCGAGATGCGGGAGGGCAGAGCGCCCGCGTCGGCGGCAGAGGGAAGCGGTGCGGAGGGAGAGCCGAGCAAAACTGCGGGGACGCGGGGGAAGAGAAAGCGTCAGGAGCGGCTCGGCCCCACAAGCAGGGGGGCACGCGGCTGTCCTACGGGGGGAGGGGATGCAACGGCTCATAACGCACAGCGTGGGGGGGTGCGGGGCCAAACCCCCGACGTGCGGGCAGTGGGATAAAGGCAGACGTGGAGGGAGCGCGGGCACGGACGTGGCAGCGGCTGTGAGGTGCCCTCAGAGCACAGCCCAGCCCCGGCCCCACACCCAGCAGAGCCCCTGACGGCGGAGCGTTGGGGTCGCAGCATCTCAGAGGGCCGTGGGCTCCGAGCAGCCTCTGCTCTTCACCCTCAGGCGAGGCGGGCACCGGGACCGACCCCGGCCCCACACGGGCTCGGATACGGGGCGAGAGCGGAGGGCACCCCGACCCCGACATCCAGCATGGACCCCACGTGGGGCACGTCGGGGTCGCGGCAGCCCCACCGCCCCCGTGCTCCTCACCCCGCAGCGAGGAAGGCACCGGGGCCGAGCCCGGCCCTAAAGGAACTCAGTTATGGGCCGGGAGCGGCGCTCAGCCCTCGGGTCGCCGCAGCCCCGGCGCTCCGTGCGGCTCGGGGGGGTCGGCGCTGCCCCGAGGGACGGCCGAGCTCTGACGGGGGGCGGCAATCCCCGAAAGCTTTTCTTGGGGAGGGGACGCGGGGGTCGCAGCCCCCTGCAGACGGCAGGGAAGGAGGGGAGCCGGCAGCCCACGGCTCAGCAGGGCGGGAGAGCGGGGCCCGGAGGAGGGGTCGGGGTCACCCCCACCGCGGGGGTCTCGCGGCCCCCCTCCCTTCCCGGGCTCTCGGGACCCCCGCTAGGAGGCCTCGGGGGCGGCGGGCCCAGCACGGCCCCGGCGACGCGATGGGGGCAGCGCTGCCCGCCGGCCGCTCCGCGCGGAGCCCCGGCCCCGCTCTGCGGGGCGCCGAGGGCCGCGGCTTTCCCCCGGGCCCGCCCCCGGCCCGGCCTCTCGGAGCGCCCTTGGCTTACCGGCAGCTTGGGGCTGACTTCCCCTTTGCAGCTGTGGCAGAAGAAGCGGTGCTGGGACACGGCGGCCGCAGCCGCCGCGGAGGCCTCCGCCATCTTCTCTCTCCGCCTCCTCTGCCGGCTCCCTGCCGTCAGTCCTCCGGCCGGGCAGCGAGGCGGCGGCCCGACGGATAGAGCGCCGGCACTTCCGGTCCTCCCGGCCGCTCCGAGAGAGCGCGGCGTCACGGCAGCACGACGAGACGGAGCGGGTAGAGCGGCACGTAGCCGCGGTCCTCCGGAGCGGCGGCGCCGAGGAAGCGGAAGTAGTCATCTGGGCGCCGGAAATGGTGTTCGCCGCGGTGGTCGCATGGGTTTAAGCCGGGCCTCGGTGAGAGCGGGGCGCTGGGGGGGCGAGGAGCTCGGCGTTGCCGCGGTGCAGGGAGGGACGCGGGGATCCCGGCAGCGCCGCGAGCCCGGGGCGGGGACGTGGGGACCCGGGGACCCCGGCAGGAGCTCCGTGTGGGTGGGCGCGGCCCCCGGCGGTGATCTGCTCCAGAAGGGGCGGGGGGGGGCGAGCAGCGGTGGCGGGGGGGCAGCGGCTCCTCCTCCCCGGGAAATGTCCCGCTCCCCTCCCTCCCTCTCTCCCCTCCTCACTGTGGAACCGAGTCATCGAGAAAATGGGATTTTTATTTTTTTAATTGGTAAAAGGAGGATTTCAGCCCCGGATCCCCTCCCCATCCACTGGAGAATGGGGTTTTTCCCTCAAAACCCCTCCCTTAACGAAGAGTTTTCACCCCAAAATCCCATTTCCTCTGCCCTCACAAAATTCCTCCTCCCGTAAAACCCATCTCCAAACAGCTCCTTTCCGCCCCCAGAGCTGCAAGGGGTCTCAGTGCCACGGCCGCCCCCAGAGCCGCGCTGAGAACCGCGGGGCTCCGCTCTGCTCCCCAGCCGTGATCCCAGCTGTGCCGCCATGACGCAGGCGGAGATAAAGCTGTGCTCCCTGCTGCTGCGAGAGCATTTCGGGGAGATCGTGGAGAAGGTGGGGACGTACCTGGTGAGGACGGGCAGCCAGCCGCTGCGGGCCATCTGCGCCGACACCGGGCTGGCGCTGGACCAGGTATGGGGGGCAACGGGGGGCAGCGGGGGCCCAAAAACGGGCCGGGGCGCCTCGAGGGCTCTGCGAGCGCGTGACCAACCGAGAGCTCCTGGGGCAGGTGAGGAAGGCGCTGTGCGTCCTCATCCAGCACAACCTGGCCGCCTACCAGCTGCAGAAGCGCGGCTGTGTGGAGTACGAGGCTCGGTGCCGCCGGGTGCTGCGCATCCTGCGCTACCCGCGCTACATCTACACGGCCAAGGCGCTGTACGGCGACACCGGGGAGCTGCTGGTGGAGGAGCTGCTCCTCAACGGCAAAATGACGCTGAGCGCCGTGGTGAGGAAGGTGGCGGATCGGCTGACGGAGACCATGGAAGGTGGGCGCTGCTCCCCTCCGTGCGGGGACCTGGCGAGGGTGGAGGCTGCCGGTGTGGAGCGCTGCGTCCGGCTCTGGGCTCCCCGGTACAAAAAGGACAGGGAGCTCCTGGGAAGGGCCACGAAATGGTGAAGGGCCTGGAGCTTCTCCCTGCGGAGAAAGGCTGAGGGAAGCGGGTCTGTTCAGCCTCGAGGAGGCCGAGAGGGGACCTGAGCCAGGTCTGTAAATATGGAGGTGTGGGGCAGAGCGGCGAGGCCGGGCTCTTGTCAGCAGTGCTGGAGACGGGACGAGGGGAACGGCCAGCAACCGCAGCGCAGCAAGTCCTGCACAGACGTGCAAAGAACTGCTTTGGTGAGGTGGCGGAGCGCTGGCGCAGCTGCCCAGGGGCTGCTGGAGTCTCCTTCTCTGCAGGTGCTCCAGACCCGCCTGCACACCGACCTGTGCGACCTGCTGCAGGAACGGCTTTGGCAGCGGGTTGGACGCCGTGATCTCTGCAGCTCCCTTCCAACCCCGGCGATTCTGTGATGGTGGGGAGCGGAGCCCGGGGGGGGCAGAGGGTTTTTGCTCATTGGAAGCAGTTGGAAAACTCCTTCAGCTGCTTGCTGATTCTCCTGCGTAAACCTTTGGGCTTTTTGGGCAGCGGTGCTTTGCGATTTCTTCCCTGCCTTCAGGCTGCTCAGGAAATTGATTTTGCCCCACGTCTCCCCGGCTGGGCGGCCCCAGCGGTTACTGAAGTGACACGGGGTGATTTCTGACTGCAAATAGTAATAAAAGCGATAAGGGACGTCGAGGGGTTGAGGAGAAACCTGTATTTAGGAAGGAAAATGGCGAGATGGCAGTGCTGATTGGATTCCGGTAGCCCCGGGCCCTGGAGGTGCTTGAGGTCAGCTGGAGCCCTGGGCAGCCTGAGCTGACAGCACGGCCCGTGGCAGGGTTGGAAGTGGACGGCCTGTGGCTCCCTTCCATCCAGGCCGTTCTGTGGGATGCTCTCGGGGCGGCTCTGCAGCGCTGTGGGAGCCTCCCGACACACAGCCAGCACCCAGAGAGCCTCCGACCCGCTGCCATGGGGCTGCAGACAACAACCGGCCCACGGCAGCTCGGAGCAGTGGCAGAACGGAGCAGTGGCAGAACGGAGCAGTGGCAGAACGGAGCAGTGGCAGAACGGAGCAGATCAGAGCAGATCAGAGCAGATCGGAGCAGATCAGAGCAGATCAGAGCAGATCGGAGCAGTGGCGGCGCCGCACTGACAGCCCTCCCTGCCCCCTCCCTGCGCTGACAGCCCTCCCTCTGTCCCGGCTTAGATGGGAAGACCATGGACTACGCGGACGTGTGGAGCACGTTTGTGCGCCTGGCGGACACGCACTTCGTGCAGAGGTGCCCGCAGGTCCCTGAAGGCACCCAGGGCCCCGAGGTGCCCCCCCCTGCTGCGCCCACCCTGGTGCTCAACGAGAAGGACATGTATGCTGTGCCCAGGCTGAACCTCGTGGGTGAGGAGCTGGGGGGGGCTGGGGGCTGCCGGAGGGGGGCTGGGCACCAAGGGCCGGGGGGAGGCGTCAGAGCTGAGGGCTGGGGGCTGCAAGCTGAGGGCTGGGGGCTGCAAGCTGGGGGCTGGGGGCTGCAAGCTGAGGGCTGGGGGCTGCAAGCTGAGGGCTGGGGGCTGGGGGCTGCAAGCTGAGGGCTGGGGGCTGCAAGCTGGGGGCTGGGGGCTGCAAGCTGGGGGCTGGGGGCTGCAAGCTGGGGGCTGCGGGCTGCAAGCTGGGGGCTGGGGGCTGCAAGCTGGGGGCTGGGGGCTGCAAGCTGAGGGCTGCGGGCTGCAAGCTGGGGGCTGGGGGCTGCAAGCTGAGGGCTGGGGGCTGCAAGCTGAGGGCTGGGGGCTGCAAGCTGAGGGCTGGGGGCTGCAAGCTTTGGGCTGTGGGCTGCAAGCTGAGGGCTGGGGGTGCAAGCTGAGGGCTGGGGGTGCAAGCTGAGGGCTGGGGGCTGCAAGCTGAGGGCTGGGGGCTGGGGGCTGGAGGCTAATGGCTGGGGGCTGGGGGTGAGAGGTGGGGGCTAAGGCCTGGGGGCTGAGGGCTGGGAGCTGCAAGTGGGGGCTGTGGGCTGTTTGGCAGCATGGGCCCAGCGCTGCGCTGTGGTTGTTTGGCAGGGAAGGGAAAGCGGAGGCGGTCGTGCGATGAGGAGGAGAGCGGCGCCCCCAGGGCTAAGAAGCAGAAATCGGATGCAGGCGGTGAGGAGGTACTGGGGGGGGGGGGTGAAGATTCCCAAAGCTCGGGGCTGTGGGTCAGAGCAGGGCTGTGGGTCAGAGCAGGGCTGTGGGTCAGAGCAGGGCTGTGCTGTGGGGAACGCGGGGGGGTTGTGCGGCCACTTTTGGGGGCGTCCCATCGGCCGCTGTCCCCTCTGGCTCCAAACGCTTCTCCGTCCCCATCCGCCCCTGCTGCTCCGGCTCTGCAGCTCAGGCTTGGTGGCTCGCGGTCCAGCATCACCCCGGGGTGCTGGGAGCGAAGCCGCAGCTCTGCTCCCCTCGCAGCCGCCCCCCGATGACGGCATTTATTGGCAAGTGAACATGGAGCGCTTCCACCAGCACTTCCGAGACCAGGCCATCGTCAGCGCCGTGGCCAATCGCATGGACCAGGTGCGTCCGGGGGGCTTCCATCCTCTGCAGCCCGACCCCGTGGCGGCGGGGGCTCTGGGGTCTGCAGGGCGGGGGGCGACGGTGGGGTTCCGTCCTGCGGCACAGCGGGGCCGGGGGCTGCGGGGGGGGAGCCTTGCCTTCTCCTGCGGCCAGACTCCACGGTGGAGCGGCTCTGGACACCGGGCTGCTGGGGGGATCCGCGTCCCTGCAGCACAGCTCCACGGCGGGGCAGGGCTGCGGTGGGGGGCAGGAGAGGCTTCCACACCCTGCGCTGGGGTGGGGGCTGCCCACAGCTGTGTGCTGTGTGGGGAGAGCTCCGCTCTGGGCAGCCGCTCGGTGCTGCTCTGAGCGCGGCGCCGCCCCCGTCGCAGCCCAGCAGTGAGATCGTTCGCACCATGCTGCGGATGTCCGAGGTCACCACGGCGTCGGGCGCAGCTCACACGCAGCCGCTCTCCTCCCATGAGGTCGGTGTCCCCCCTCCCCCCCCCCTCCCCGCTCCTCCCATCCCCCCCCCGGGGTCCCCGTGTGCCCCCCTGGGCTGCAGTGAGCGCTGCTGTGGGCAGGAAGGAGGGAAGGGGCCGTCTGTCCGCCGGCGGAGGTCGGGGTGTCCGTCAGTCCTGCTGCGTCTGTGTGTCCTGCGGTCGGGGGTCGCGCAGGAGGTGTCTGTGCGTCCTTCGCTGGGGATCGGGCGGGAGGTGTCCGTCTGTCCTGCGGTGTCACTACGTCCCTCAGTGGGGTTGGACAGCAGGCGTCCGTCTGTCCCGCGGTTTCCATCTGTCCTGTGCGGCCGGGTTTGGGTGGGAAGCGTCTGTCTGTCCCACGGCGTCATTTGGCAGGAGGTGTCTGTCCATCCTGCAACGTCTGTCTGTCCTGCAGCGGACAGGAGGTGTCCGAATGTCTCTCGGTGGGGGTTGGGCAGGAGGTGTCCGTCTGTCCCGCAGTGTCCGTCTGTCCCGCAGTCTCTCAGTGCCACTCGTTCTCCTCCCGCAGATTTTCCGTTCGCTGCCGCCGGGTTACAACATCACAAAGGCGGTGCTGGAGCAGTGCCTGGCGCTGATGGCCGACGACCCGGTGAGGCTGTGGGGTGCTGTGATGGGGTGCTGTGGGGCGCTGTGAGATGCTGTGGGTGCTGTGCGATGCTATGAGATCTGTGGGGCGCTGTGAGATCCTATGGGGCGCAGTGAGATGCTGTGGGGCACTGTGAGATGCTGTGAGGTCCTCTGGAGCGCAGTGGGGCACTGAGATCCTATGGGGTGCAGTGGGGCACTGAGATCCTATGGAGTGCAGTGGGGCACTGTGAGATGCTGTGAGATGCTATGGGGCGCAGTGGGGCACTGTGAGATGCTATGGGGCGCAGTGGGGCATTGTGAGATGCTGTGAGATGCTATGGGATGCAGTGGGGCACTGTGAGATGCTATGGGGCGCAGTGGGGCATTGTGAGATGCTGTGAGATGCTATGGGATGCAGTGGGGCACTGTGAGATGCTGTGAGATGCTATGGGGCGCAGTGGGGCACTGTGAGATGCTGTGAGATGCTATGGGGTGCAGTGGGGCACTGTGAGATGCTGTGAGATGCTATGGGATGCAGTGGGGCACTGTGAGATGCTATGGGGCACAGTGGGGCATTGTGAGATGCTGTGAGATGCTATGGGATGCAGTGGGGCACTGTGAGATGCTATGGGGCGCAGTGGGGCATTGTGAGATGCTGTGAGATGCTATGGGGCGCAGTGGGGCGCTGTGAGATGCTATGGGGCGCAGTGGGGCACTATGAGATGCTATGGGGCGCAGTGGGGCATTGTGAGATGCTATGGGGTGCAGTGGGGCGCTGAGATGCTATGGGGCGCAGTGGGGCGCTGTGAGATGGAAACAGATGGACACGGAGCGCTGGATGGAAACGACTCCTCCCAGTGGGGCGCAGCTCCGCCTGCACAGCTCTGCGCCGTCAGGGTGCAGCTGCTGCGGCGCTGGGCTGCTGCTCCCCCCTGCGAGTTGTTTCCACCCGGCGCGCAGCACAAATCGGGTTTTGTCCGCCGGGGTTTCGGGGCAGCAGCGGCTCTGGCACCCGGGAGCTGCTGAGCTCCGTGTCTGCACAGCTGCAGTTCGTGGCGAAATCCGGGGACAGCGGCGGCGGCACCTACAGCGTCAGCATCCTTTGGGGGGCGGTGGTCCCTATGGGTCAGCATCCTTTGGGGGGGCGGTGGTCCCTATGGGGTCAGCATCCTTTGGGGGGCGGTGGTCCCTATGGGGTCAGCATCCTTGGGGGGCGGTGGTCCCTATGGGGTCAGCATCCTTTGGGGGGGGCGGTGGTCCCTATGGGTCAGCATCCTTTGGGGGGGCGGTGGTCCCTACGGGGTCAGCATCCTTTGGGGGTCCCTATGGGGTCAGCATCCTTTGGGGGGGCGGTGGTCCCTACAGGGTCAGCATCCTTTGGGGGGCGGTGGTCCCTATGGGGTCAGCATCCTTTGGGGGGGGGGGGGCGGTGGTCCCTATGGGGTCAGCATCCTTTGGGGGGGCGGTGGTCCCTATGGGGTCAGCATCCTTTGGGGGGGCGGTGGTCCCTATGGGGTCAGCATCCTTTGGGGGGGGCGGTGGTCCCTATGGGGTCAGCATCCTTAGGGGGGGGCGGTGGTCCCTATAGGGTCAGCATCCTTAGGGGGGGGCGGTGGTCCCTATAGGGTCAGCATCCTTAGGGGGGGGCGGTGGTCCTTATGGAGTCAGCATCCTTTGGGGGGGGCGGTGGTCCCTACAGGGTCAGCATCCTTTGGGGGGGGCGGTGGTCCCTACGGGGTCAGCATCCTTAGGGGGGGGCGGTGGTCCCTATACGGGGTCAGCATCCTTTGGGGGGGCGGTGGTCCCTATGGGGTCAGCATCCTTTGGGGGGGGCGGTGGTCCCTATAGGGTCAGCATCCTTTGGGGGGGCGGTGGTCCCTATGGGGTCAGCATCCTTTGGGGGGGGCGGTGGTCCCTACGGGGTCAGCATCCTTTGGGGGGCGGTGGTCCCTACGGGGTCAGCATCCTTTGGGGGGCGGTGGTCCCTACGGGGTCAGCATCCTTTGGGGGGGCGGTGGTCCTTATGGGGTCAGCATCCTTTGGGGGGGGGCGATGGTCCCTACGGGGTCAGCATCCTTTTTGGGATCCGCTCCCGTGTCGCTGTGCTCCTTTGACTCGGCTCCGCTCAGACCTGCACCGCGCGCTGCGCTCGCTGGCCACGGCGACGCTGGAGTCCATCGTGGAGGAGAGGTGTGAGCTGGAGCCCCGCGCGGCCGCGTCTTGTCCTGCTCCGCTCTGCTCTCAGCCTCCTCCATCTCCGTCCTCCCCTCCTCCGTCTCTCCTTTCCCTCTCCTCTACTTCTCCTCCTCCCTCCTCCTCCCTCCCTTTCTCCCCTCCTTCCCCTCTCCTTCCATCTCCCTCTTCTCCTCCCCCCTTCTCCCTCTCCCCCCTCCACCCGATCCCCTTCCTCCTCTCCCCTTCTCTTCCCTCCCCTCCTCTCCCTCCCTCCCTTCCTCCTCTCCCCTTCCTCTTCTCCCCTCCCTCTCTCCCTTCTGTCTGCTCCCCTCCCCTCCTTTCCTCTCCCTCCTCCTCTTCCATCTCTCTCCCCCTCCCTCTCCCTCTCTTCACCCCTTGCCTTCTTCTTCCCCCACCCCGTCCCTCCTCCTCTCTCCTCTCCCTTTCCTCCTCTCCTCCCTCCTCTCCCCTCTCTGTCTCCTCTCCTCCCCTCCTTTCCTCTCCCTCTCCCCTCTCCTCCCCCTTCCCTCCTTCCTCTCTCCTCCTCCCCCTCCTTTTCCCCTCCCTCCTCTCCCCTCTCTGTCTCCCCCCCTCCATCCTTTCCCCTCCCCTCCTTCCTCTCATTCTCCCCTCCCTGCTCAGGTTTGGTTCCCGCTGTGCGCGGATTTTCCGCCTCCTGCTGCGGAAGCAGCACCTGGAGCAGAAGCAGGTGGAGGATTTCGCCATGATCCCGGCCAAGGAGGCCAAGGACATGCTGTACAGGATGCTGTCCGAGAACTTCGTGGCGCTGCAGGTCGGGGGGGGGGGGGGGGGCGGCTCTTTGAGCCCCCCAACACGATTGGGGTCCCTGAGCCCCCATGACGGGGTCACTGCGCTCCGTGCGGCTGAGCGGTGATGTGGGCCCAGCTCTCGGTCCCTGCCACGTTCGCAGCACGGCTGCAGCCCCCCTTCTCCCTCCGCCCCCAGGAGATCCCCCGGACCCCCGACCACGCTCCGTCCCGAACCTTCTACCTCTACGCCGTCAACGTGCCGTCCTCCGCCAGGATGCTGCTGCAGCGCTGCTATAAGGTTCCTCCCCAGCCGCGCTGGGTTCTGCCGCCCCGAGGGCCCCGGCTCTGCCCCCACTGTTACGGGTGTTCCTGCTGTGCTGCGCCCCACAGCCCCAAATGCCGCCCCGCAGCCCGGCCCTTTTCTCTTCCCTCTCCCCAGAGCGTGGCCAACCTGATGGAGAGGCGGCAGCACGAGACCAGGGAGAACAAGTGAGTGTGGGGTGAGGGGCTGCAGGATGGGGAGGGGGCTGCGTGTGGGGGGGAGCCGTGGGTGTGTGGGAGCTGCAGGGGGGGCGGCTGTGGGTCAGGGGGCTGCAGGTGGTGGGGCTGCAGGGTGGGGGGCGGCTGGGGGGAGATGCTGTGGTTTGGGGGGGCTGCGTGTGGGGAGCCGCAGGTTGGGAGGGCTGGGGGGGGGCTGCAGGAGATTGGGGCTGGGGGGTGGGGGGGGGGCTGTGAGTTGGGAGGGCCAGGGGTGGTTGGGGCTGCTGGTGGGGGGTGCTGCGGTTGGGGGCTGGGGGCTGCAGGTGGGGCTGCAGGTTGGGGGCTGCAGTTTAGGGAATGTGAGTGGGGGCTGAGAGGGGGCTGCGGTTGGGGGCTGCGGTTGGGGGCTGTGGGTGGGGGCTGCAGGGGGGGCTGAGGGTTGGGCTGCCGCTGGGGGCCGCTGGGGGCTGCAGCCGGCCGGGCGCTGCGCTCTGCAGGCGGCTGCTGGAGAAATCGCAGCGCGTCGAAGCCATCCTGGGCTCCATGATGGCCACCGGCGCTGAGCGCGCGCAGCTGCAAGAGATCGAGGAGATGATCACGGCTCCGGAGCGGCAGCAGCTCGAGAGCCTCAAACGCAACGTCAATAAGTGAGCGGGGGGCCGAGGGGCGGAGCCGGGGGGCTGGGGGGGGGGAGGAGGCGGAGCCCCGAGCGCAAACCGCCGCTTCCCGACCCCCCAGGATCGACGCCAGCGAGAATCAGGTGGACGAAACCATCTTTGTGCTCGAGTCGTTCATCGAGAGCACCGTGAGGACGGCGTGAGCGGCGCTGGTGGGGCGCTGCGCGGGGGGCGTCGCGCCGGGGGGGGAAATAAAGGATGGAGGAGGGACGTCCCGCTGCCTCCGGCCGTGGCCTGCAGAAGGGGGGGGCTTTGGGGTGGGGGCAACGGGGGCTGGGAGGCGAGGGGCTCGGAGGGCTTCGGGTACGGGGCCATGGGGGATGGGGGGCAGCGGGGCAGTGAGCGCGGGGGGCTGCGGGGACGGGGGGGCTGCGGGGCGAGCTGCCCCCCGCTGGCGATGCCGGTGCTCCCGCCGACCCCCGGCGGCCTCCCCGCTCCTCCCGGCCACCAGGGGGCGCCGTTTCCGCCCAACGCCATTCCTGGCGCTGCGTCCCCGCGCTGTGCGCAGCGCCGTTCCCGTGTCCCCATCCGTCATCGTTCCCGTGGCCCCAGCTCCGTTCCCAACCCCGTTTCCCTGTCCCCACATCCCGTGCCCCCAGACCCATCCACGTCCCCAACGCCGTTCCCGTGCCCCCCACCTGCCCGTGTCCCCACACCCTGCGCTGTGGGGCAGGGCTGACCCCATGCCCTCCATTTGTGGGGCTGCAGTAGAGGAGCACAGGACCCATCTCTGCCCCACGTTTGATGCGGCGGCGCTGGAATCGCGCTATAGGGCGGCCTGTAGGACAGGCTGTAGGGCCAGCAGATAAAGGTGGTTTATGGCTGCGCGGTGACCCCAATAGGATCTGCGCGTGATCCCATCCCGACCCCTCGGCCCCACTGCAGCCCCACACGCCGTGGGGTGACGGCGTGACCGGAACGCGGCCGAGCTGCGGGCGAATGGAAGCACAAAGCTGTGACCGAAGGCAGAGCTGTGCTGGAACTGCAGAACAGAAAACAGGTCCAGAGAAAGGGGAAAGCACAGCGGTGGGAGCCCAGCCCTGCGCTGCCCTGTGGGGCTGGGGGAGATGGAGGATGTGGGTCGCTGACCCTGAAGAGAAGAAATGCCAACCTCACACCTCAAGCGGGGCCCCCGGCCCTGCGCTCCTCCGGTGTGGGGCTGCGGGGGGATGTGGGGCGCAGAGCCCAACGCCGACCCCAAGGAACGAGGAGCAGCGATGTCAAACCCCAGCCTGGGGGCTGTGGGACCCCCAGCCCCGCGCTCCCCTGTGTGGGATGGGGGGGACGTGGGGCGCAGCCATGCCCCACACCTCTGATCCATAGGGCCCCCAACCCAACCGGTGCTGCTGTGGGTGCCCTATGGGTTCCTATGGGGCAGCAGACACGGAGCAGGGCGGCGCTGACCCACAGCTCAGTGTGACGCCGCTCTGGCAGCAATCCGTGCCCACGGCTCTGCGGTGCTGGGGGTCGGGGTGGGGGGGGAGGCTGGGGGTCACTTCGTGCAGTAGAGCAGAGCACGAAGCTCACAGCACCCCATAGTGCCCCACAGATCCCATAGCATCCCACAGAGCCCCGTAGTGCCCCACAGATCCCATAGCATCCCACAGAGCCCCGTAGTGCCCCACAGATCCCATAGCATCCCACAGAGCCCCGTAGTGCCCCACAGATCCCATAGCATCCCACAGAGCCCCGTAGTGCCCCACAGATCCCATAGCATCCCACAGAGCCCCGTAGTGCCCCACAGATCCCATAGCATCCCACAGAGACCCGTAGAGACCCATGGCGCCTCATGGAGCAGGTTGTATAGGGGCGAGTTGTATAGGGGCAGGTTGTATAGGGGCGGGTTGTATAGGGGCGGGTTGTATAGGGGCTGGTTGTATAGGGGCGGGTTGTATAGGGGCGGGTTGTATAGGGGCGAGTTGTATAGGGGCGGGTTGTATAGGGGTGGGTTGTATAGGGGTGGGTTGTATAGGGGTGGGTTGTATAGGGGCGGGTTGTATAGGGGTGGGTTGTATAGGGGCGGGTTTTATAGGGGTGGGTTGTATAGGGGCGAGTTGTATAGGGGCAGGTTGTATAGGGGTGGGTTGTATAGGGGTGGGTTGTATAGGGGCTGGTTGTATAGGGGCGGGTTGTATAGGGGCGGGTTGTATAGGGGTGGGTTTTGTAGGGGCGCTGCGGCGCTGAGCCGCTCTGAAGAAATCAGTGCGTGTTTCACAGCTGCGCTGCTCACTTTAATGCGCCGACCCCAGGTCCCCATACGTCCCCATGTCCCCGTGTCCCCATGTCCCCATACGTCCCCGCATCCCCACGTGTCCCCGTGTTCCGACGTCCCCCGTCCCCACGCAGTGGCGCTCAGCTCAGCGCCGCGATGTGCAGCAGCAGCTGGTGGGCAGCTTCATCCAGGGAGCCCTGCAGCCCACAGAGCCGTGGGGAGCTGTGGGGCACCGAGCGCTGACCCACAGCCCCACATCCCCGCCCCATAGGGTCAGTGTGGGGCACCCTGCGGCCCCCACCCCACATCCCCGCCCCATAGAGTCGCTGTGGGCACCCTGCGGCCCCCACCCCACATCCCCGCCCCATAGGGTCAGTGTGGGGCACCCTGCGGCCCCCACCCCACATCCCCGCCCCATAGGGTCAGTGTGGGGCACCCTGCAGAACCCCCCCCCACATCCCCGCCCCATAGGGTCGCTGTGGGGCATCCTGCAGCCCCCACCCCACATCCCTGCCCCATAGGGTCAGTGTGGGGCACCCTGCGGCCCCCACCCCACATCCCCGCCCCATCTGGGCTGGGTTCCCACCTGCGCTGCGCTCAGGAGCAGCGTCCGATAAACGGCCACGACGTCGTGGTGCTTCTGCTGCTGCAGCTGCGGAGTGGAGACACCGTGGGACATCGGGGGGTGGGGGAGGACAGCGTGGGGTGACACTGGGTGACACCACGGGGGGATGAGGGGTGACAGCATGGGGGGATGCTGGGTGGCTCCAAGTGACACCACGAGGTGATGCTGGGTGACATTGGGTGACACCACGGGGTGATGCTGGGTGACTTTGGGTGACACCACGGGGTGACAGCGAGTGACGCGATGAGGTGATGGGTGACACAGGGCGACTCTGGGGGGTGACACCAGGTGGCACAGGGTGACTCCACAGCTGCGAACACCACGCTGTGACGTTGGGTGGCAGCATGGGGTGACACTGGGTGACACCATGGGTGGTGGCAGGTGACACCGCACAGTGACAGCAGTGACACCATGCGACGATTCTGGGTGACACCACATGGTGACACCACGAGGTGACATGAGGTGACACAGGGGGGTGACAAAACGTGACGTGGCACCAGATGACACCAAGGGGTGAGGTGACGTTGGGTGACACCAGGTGACACCTGAGGGTGATGTGATACAATGCAGGGTGACATAAGGGGACAGGGTGACAACAGGGATGAGGTGGCATAGGGGGTGAGGTGGTGACACTGGGTGACAGCGGGGGTTGGTGTGACATGGCACAGGGTGACAGCAGGGGTGCAGTGAGGTGACACGGGGTGACACCAGGGTGAGACATGATGTGGCACATGGTGACATGCGGTGAGGTGACAGAGGTGACAATGGAGATGAGGTGAGGTGACAGTGGGTGACAGCGGGGGGTGACACAGCCTGACAGTGGGGTGAAGTGAGAGAGAGGTGACACAGGGTGACACCAGGGCTGAGGTGAGGTGACACAGGGTGACACTGAGGGTGAGGTGAGGTGACAGAAGTGACACTGGGGGTGGGGTGAGGTGACAGCAGGTGACAGAGGTGACAGAGGAGTGAGGTGAAGAGGTGGCACATGGAGGTGACACAAAGTGACAGAGGTGACACACAGAGGGGACACACAGAGGGGACACAGAGGTGAGAAAGGTGACACACAGGTGGAACAGAGGTGGCACACAGAGGTGACACAGAGAGCTGACAGAGGTGACACACGGAGGTGACACAGAGGGGAGACACAGAGGTGGCACACAGAGGTGACACAAAGAGGTGACACACAGGTGACACAGAGGCGACACACAGCAGTGGCACACAGAGGTGACATGGAGGTGACACAGAGGTGACATGCAGTGGTGACACACGGAGGTGACACGGAGGTGGCACACAGAGGTGGCACATGGAGGTGACACGGAGGTGGCAAAGAGGTGACACACGGAGCACACAGCGGTGGCAGACAGAGGCGATGTGGGGGTGACACTCGGAGGTGACACAGCGGTGACCCCCGGCGGCGCCGCCCCCCGCCCCACCTGCAGCCGCAGCCGCAGCTCCCCGCTCTCCTCCCGCACCGCGCGCAGCTCCGCCTCCAGGCGACCCGACAGCGCCAGCAGCTGCTGAACCTGCGGGGGGGGGACAATGGGACACGGGGACGGGGGGTCAATGGGATGGGGGGACCGGGGGACACGGGGAGGGGGGGACAGGGGTCAGTGGAATATGGGGACGTGGGGACCGGGGGACATGGGGACGGGGGAATGGGGGGTCAATGGGATATGGGGACCGGGGGACATGGGGACGGGGGGGACAGAGGGATGTGGGGATGGGGGTCAGTGGAATATGGGGATGTGGGGACAGGGATGGGGTGTGGGGCAGGGATGGGGACATGGGGGGGGACGTGGGGATGTGGGACGTGGGATGTGGGGCGGGGAGCAGCGATGGGGAGGGCAGTGGGGGGTGCGGAGAGGATGGGGACAACGAGGGGGGTGACGGGACGACAGGAGCGACGGGGGGAAGGGGACGGGGGGCAGCTGTGGGATGGGGGCGGGGGGCGTCGGGGTGGCGGTGGGATGGGGACAGCGATGGGGAGGAGGGGGGGGGGAAGGAGGGGGGGAGAGTTGGGGGGTAAGGTGGGGGGGGGGGGAACGAGGGTGGGAGGGTGGGATTGGGATTGGGATTGGGATTGGGATGGGGTGGGATGGGGTGGGATGGGATTCGATTGGGATTGAGATGGGTTGGGATTGGGGTAGGATGCAGATGGGATGGGGATGGGGATAGGGATGGGATGGGGTTGGATTGAGATTGGGATTGGGACGGGATTGGGATGGGGTGGGATGGCATTGGAATGGGATGGGGATGGGTTTGGGATGGGGATTGGGATTGGGATGGAGTGGAAATGGGCTGGGCTGGGATGGAATGGGATGGGATGGGATGGGATGGGATGGGATGGGATGGGATGGGATGGGATGGGATGGGATGGGGGAGTGGGACGGGGTTGGGATGGGATGGGAACTGGGTTGGGATGAGATTGGGGTGGGGATGGGATGGGGATGAAATGAAATGGAGATGGGGTGCGGTGGGATGCGGTGGGGACCGCGATGGCGACGGGGCGGCGACGGACGGGGGTGGGAGCGGGAGGGGCGGCGACGGGGGGCAGCGGCGACGGGGACGCGGCGTGGCGGGGCTGACCTGGCGCCCTCCGTGCCGGCACGCCCCGCACCGCTCCCGCCCCGGCCCCTCCTCGCCGCCCCGCCGCCGCTCCTCCGCCTCGCCGTCCCGCCCCGTCCCGCCGAGCTCCGCGCTCCCCGCGCCGCCCGCCTCCATCTCGGCCACGGCCCGCAGCGCCCTCCGCTGGGAGCGCAGCGCCGCGTCCAACCCGCGGTGCAGCTCCCGCAGCGCCGCCGCGCACGGCTCCGCGGCCCCGCGCCGCCCCTCCCGCGCTTCTCCCCGCGCGGCCGCCGCCCGCCCCGCGGCTCCGCTCCTCCGCGGCTCCCGCAGCTCCCGCAGCCGCTCCCGCAGCCGCTCCCGCTCCTCCCGCAGCCGCGTCAGTTCGGCCAGCAGCGCCGCGGAGCCCCGCGCTCTCCCCGCTTCGTCCCCCTGCCGCTCCGCCGCGCCCCGCGCCGCCGCCCCGCCGCCCCCCCCGCCCTTCCTCCCGCGCGGCTCCGCACGACCTCCTTCGGCCCCGCGCTCCTCAGCCCCGCACCGCGCGCTCCCGCGCGGCTCCCCGCCGTCACGCGGCGGCCGCGAGCACCGCCGGACCGCGGGCGCTGCGGGGCGTTGGGCGCCCGCCGGGCGGCGGCGCTGCCGGATGGCCGGGGTCGCCCCTTCCTCCTCCTCCTCCTCCTCTTCAGCACCGCCAGCAGCGCTGCGGCCCTGCGGGGTGAGCGCCGCACCGCGTGCGGAGCCGTGGGTCGCGGTGCGCTGTGCGCTGAGCCCCGCAGCCCCGCCCGTTCCCCGGCCCCCCGAAGCCCCCTGTGCCCCCCGGCCCCGCAAACTCCCCAACCCCCCCCAGGCCCCCAAACCCCCCCGCCCCACACCTGCACTCCGTGCCGCTCAGCTCCGTCCATGGGGCAGCGCGGCCCCAAGGCTCCTCCGGCCCCACAGCGCTGCAGAGGGGCGGCTCTGAAGGGGGAGGGGGGGGGGGGAACGACAGAGGGACACGGTGATGTGGGACACAGGGACACGGATAAATGTTGGCACAGGGACGCGGTGGCACAAGGAAGTGAACATGGTGACACGGTGACACGGTGACAATGGCACAGGGACAGAGGTGACACGGTGACAACGCCATGGCGCAGTGACACGGGGACACGGGGACAGTGACCCCAAACCACCGCTGTGCCCCAAACTGTCCCCATGTCCCCAAACTGTCCCAAAATCCCACAACCCTGAACTGTCCCCATGATGTCCCCATGATGTCCCCATGATGCCCCCACGTCCCCCCGCCCCGCAGTGCCTCACGGTCGCCCCCTGCCGGCAGTTCCGGGTTCCGCCCTCGCCTTTGGGGGCGCTGGGCTGCGGGGACCCCAGGGGTCTCACCCTGCCCCCCTCCCCCCATCCCCACCCCATTCCCACCCCATTCCCACCCCATTTCCGTTCCCATTCCCATCTCACCCCATCCTCATCCCCATCCCCATCCCTACTTCCATCCCACCCCATTCCCATTCCCCATTCCCACCCCATTCCCATCCCCATCCCATTCCTATTTCCATTCCCATCCCATTTCCGTTCCCATTCCCATCTCACTCCATTCTCATCCCCATCCCCATTCCCACCCCATTCTATTGCTATTCCCATCCAATCCCACCCCATTCCCATCCCATTTCCTTTCCCGTTCCCATTCTCCCCCCTCTCCTCCTCCCCCCTTCCCATTCCCACCCCATTCTATTGCTATTCCCATCCAATCCTATTCCCCATTCCCACCCCATTCCCATCCCCATCCCATTCCTATTTCCATCCCCATCCCATTTCCGTTCCCATTCCCATCTCACTCCATTCTCATCCCCATCCCCATCCCCATCCCTACTTCCATCCCACCCCATTCCCATCCCATTCCCGTTCCCGTTCCCATTCCCTCCCCCCTCCTTACCCCCCCCATCCCATTCCCATTCCCACCCCATCCCTGGCCCCATTCCGTTCCATTTCCATCCCATTCCCATTCCCACCCCATTCCCATTCCTCTCCTACCTCCCCTCCCAGCCCCCATAACCCCCCCCCCCCCCCCATTTCCGGCCCCCCCACTTTGTGGACCCACAGATTTGGGGTCCATCATCAGGGCCCACATTTGGGATCCAGATCTCGAGATCTGGATTAATGACCCACATTTTGGGGCCCCTATTTTGGGATCTGTCCTTCAGGGCCCGTATTCATGACCCGTATTTGGGACCCGTATTTCAGGGCTCATATTTTTGACCCCGATGTCGGGGTCCGAATTTGGGACCCCATCGGCAGTGGGGCGCAGAGCGCAGCCCGACCTGTGCTGCCCCACACGGCTGTGAGCTGGGCACCCAACCGTGGGTGGGGCTGAGAATGGGGGGCCAGAGCTGCGGCTGCCTGTGGGGCTGAGCTGTGGGGCTGGGGAGGTGCAATGGGGCTGAGCAATGGGGCTGAGTGGTTGGGCTGCCCATGGGGGGCTGAGCAGTGGGGCCGAGCAAAGGTGCTGCCCATGGGGGGCTGTGGGGCACAGAAATGGGGCGCTCCACACCTGGGGGTCCTCGGATCCCTCATCGAACAGGGGGTCCCCAAACCTCAGAAACCACGGGAGGACAACGGGACAATGGGGCGGCAATGGGGCGACAATGGGACAATGGGGCGGCAATGGGGCAGCAATGGGGTGACAACGGGACAATGGGGCGGCAATGGGGCAGCAATGGGGTGACAACGGGACGCCTCATGACAAACCCCCCCCTCCGCCCCACAACTCACCGGCACTGCGGGACTGGAGCAGAACGCCGTCCTCATCCGGCCCCACGCCGCGAGCCGCTCATGGGGGGCCGCCCGCTATGGGGCGGGGTGCAATGGGGCAGCGCAGGGCGCTGTGTGGGGCAGGGCGCTTTGGGGCGGGGCGCTGTGCGGTAGGGCAGAAGCGCCGTGTGGGGCCGGGAGCTACGGGGCGGGGCGCTATGGGGCAGAGGAGCACTGTGTGGGGCGGGCTGTTATGGGGCGGCGCCGGAGGGCTGGGTGGTCCGGGCGCTATGGGGCAGCACGCTATGGGGCAGAAGCGCTATGGGGCAGAAGCGCTATGGGGCAGCACGCTATGGGGCAGCACGCTATGGGGCAGAAGCGCTATGGGGCAGCACGCTATGGGGCAGAAGCGCGTTACACACATTTACGCAGCCACCCAGGCGTGACATCGGGAGTCGCACGGGGGAAACCGGAAGGACGGACGTGGGGACAGGGAAGGACGGACGGACAGATGTGGGGACAGACGGACGCGTGGGAGAGACAGACGGACACGGAGACGGATGGACGGGGACGGAGGGACGGATGCGGGGACACGGGTGGAGGGACAGACGGACGGCGGGACAGACAGACACAGGGACGTAGGGATGTGGGGAAAGAACGACCGACAGATGGGGACGGATGGACGGACGGGGGACAGAAATGGACGTGGGGACAGACGGACGGCTGTGAGGACGGACAGACGGACGCCCCCCCTCCCCCCCCCCCCCTTCGGCCCTTTGTGCTTCTTTTCCGTTTTTTTATTGAAGAACAAAAAGCGCAGCGCAGCAGGACCCCCCCCCCCCCCCCCAAAAAAAAACAAAACCGCGACGGCCCCCGGGAGGGGGGGAGATGTGAGACCCCCCCCTCAGCCCCCCCCCCCCCTCACAGAATAAATAAATTAATCAGAGGAATTATGGGATGGAGGGGGGCGGGGGGGGCACGGACCCGTGGCATCGCCCCCGTTGCACGATGGGGGGGGGGGGGGGGGGGGGCGGTCACCCCCCCAAAATGGGACAAACGGGAGGGGGGGCCGCCGGCTTCTCCTGGGGGGGGGGGGGGAGGGGCTGTTCTGGGAAGGAGGGGTTTTTTGGGGGGGCTGCATGGGGGGGGTTGGGGGGGGTGAGGTTGGGCGCTAAGTGTCCGAGCCGCAGGCGTCCCCCTCGCGCAGCTCCCCCTCCTCGGGGATGTCGTGCATCCGCAGGAAATCTGGGGGGGGGGCGCAGCGTCAGCCCCCCCCACCTCAAGGTGTAAAAGGGGGGGGGGCGCAGGGCCCCCAAGAGCAGCAACAGCACCGCCCCCCGCCCCCCCCCATAAGGGGCTCAATGTGAGCCCTCCCCCCCCCCCAACAAAGCAGACGATCTGCCCCTCCCCCCCGCCATCACTGCCCCCCCCCCCAGTTGGGGCGATTCAGCCCCCCCCCCCCCAAACCCCCGCTAAGGGCTGCTGCCCCCCCCCAAAACCCCAATAAAGTTCAATGTGGCCCCCCAGAAAGGGCGCTGCCCCCCCCCCCCCCAAAGGGCAACATTCCCCCCCCCCCCCAAAAACCCCCATGGACCCCCCACCACTTGTGGCCACTGTGCCCCCCCCCCAAAAAGAGACCATTTGTAACCCCCCCCCCCTGCCATAAAGGCTCAGTGCCCCCCAATTAGGGGCAGTATTTCCTGTCCTGTCCCCCCCCCAATTAAGGGCAACATCCCCCCCCCCCCCCATGAGCCCCCAAACAAGAGGCTCTGTGCCCCCCCATGACACAACCGCCCCCCCCAGTGAAGCACACAGTGCCCCCCTCCCCCCCCCCCCCCCCAACCCCCACAGGGGCGTTTTGCCCCCCCCCCCCCCGAGGTCCCCACCGCCAGGGGGGGCTGCACCCACCTCGGGGGCTGCCGGGGGGGGAGCGCTCACACGGCTCCAGCAGCTCCTGCATGGCGTCCACCCCCCCCAGGGGGGGCGCGGGGTCCTGGTGGGGCTCCGGGGGGGGCGGGGGGAGGAAGGGGGGCACGGCGGCGTCGGGGGGGGGGCTGCCGGGGGGGGAACGCTGCGGACATTTGGGGGGGGTCAGCGGTGGGCGCCCCTGGGACACGGCGAGCCCAAAGGAGCCCCCCCAAATCCCACCAACCCTTCGGAGCCCCGCCTCAATGCCCCCCCATGGCCCCCCCCCCCACAAGACCCCCCCCAAAAAGCCCCACGGACCCCCCAACCCCCACCTCCTCATCTCCCCCCCCATTAAACCCCTCCCCCCCCCCACACAAACCCCCCATCCCCCCCATCCCCCCCCCCCCCATAAAACCCCATGGGAACCCCCCACAACCCCCCCCACAACCGCCCCCCCCATCTCCCCCCATCGGCCCCTCCCAAAGCCCCCATCAGAGCCACCCCTCCCTCAGGAGCCCCCCAAGCCCCCACCTCCCCCCACAGGAACCCCCACCCCACAACTCCCCCCCCATCTCCCTCCCCAAGGACCCCCCCCCAAAAACCCCTCCCCAGGACCCCCCCCACCAAACAGCCCCCCACAAGACCCCCCCTCCCCCTCCATACCCCCCATCCTCCCCTCCTCCCCCCCCCTCCTCTCCCCCCCCACCTGCTCTCCTTGCAGCGCAGCGCCCCCTGCCGTCGCTCCTCCGCGCCGCCCCGCCGCCCCCTCGGCGTCCCTCAGGCGGCCCCGCAGCGCCGCCGCCTCCTGCGCGCGCTCGTGCAGCTGCCGCCGGCAGCGCTGCAGCTCCTCCTGCAACAGCGCGTGCTGCCGCTGCAGCAACGACAGCTGCGCCTCGGGGGGGCGGCGGCGGCGGCGGCGTTGGGGGGGCGGCGCCGGGGGGCGGCGGGCTGCGGGGGGGCGGCGCCGAGCCGCGAGCCGCGTGCAGCTGCAGCTCCCAGCGCGTGTCCTGCAGCGCCGCCTGAGCCTGGAGGGGGGGGGCGGTGTGGGGCGGAGCCACGGCGCCCCACGGCACAGAGCGGCCCCATAGCGCCCCATAGCGCCCCATACCACAGAGCGGCCCCATAGCACCCCATAGCACACAGAGCGGCCCCATAGCGCCCCATAGCACCCCATACCACAGAGCGGCCCCATAGCGCCCCACAGCACACAGAGCTGCCCCATAACACATAGAGCCGCCCCATAGCGCCCCATAGCACATAGAGCTGCCCCATAGCACAGAGCCGCCCCATAGTTCCCCATAGCACATAGAGCCGCCCCATAGCACCTCATAGCACATAGAGCTGCCCCACAGCGCCCCATAGCACATAGAGCTGCCCCATAGCACCATAGCACCCCCATAGCACAGAGCCGCCCCATAGTGCCCCATAGCACATAGTTGCCCCATAGCGCCCCATAGCAATAGAGCTGCCCCATAGCGCCCTATAGCACACAGAGCCACCCCATAGCGCCCCATAGCACACAGAGCCACCCCATAGCACCCCATAGCACATAGAGCCGCCCCATAGCGCCCCATAGCACATAGAGCTGCCCCATAGCGCCCCATAGCACATAGAGCCGCCCCATAGCATCCCATAGCGCCTCACAGCATAGAGCCGCCCCATAACGCCCCACAGCATATAGAGCTGCCCCACAGCCCATATTGTCAGCCCCACAGCACCTCAGAGCATCCCACAGCACCCCACAGCGTCAGCCCCATAGAGCCCTGTAGCACCAGACTGACCGTAATGCCACCCCACAGCGCCCCACAGCACCACCCAGGACACCCCACAGTGTCAGCCCCATAACAGCACCCCACAGCGCCCCATAGCGCCGCCCCACAGACCTGCAGCTCCAGCAGGAGGCTGTAGAGGTTATTCAGGCGCTGATTGACCTCCTGTGGGGAGAGGGGGGAAAATGACGCTCTGCCCCACAGCGCCCCACGGCGGGCCCCACAGCGCCCCTCTCACCTCCTGGGACGCGCGGGGCAGCACCTGGTTGCCATTTCCATCCTGTAGGGAAAACACGGCATCACCCCACACATCCGCCCCATAAATCTCACCCCACACCCCACCCATCGCCTCCTGCCCCACATATCCCCCCCCCACATCCCACCCCATATATCCCACCCCACATCCCACCCCACATCTCACCCCATATATCCCACCCCACATATACCCCCACATCCCACTCCATATATCCCACTCCACACCCAACCCATCCCACCCCATATATCCCACCCCATATATCAACCCCACATCCCACCCCACATCCCACCCCATACACCCACCCCACACCCACCCGCTGTCCGGAATCTGAATCCGCCCCACACGTTTCCACGGCCCCATTCAAACTGTCGGTGTCACCATCTGTGGGGTCAGACGTGGGGGGAGGCTGTGGAGTCATCTGCTGCTCGCCCCACAGCGCACCCCATGCTGTGCCCCACAAGCACCCCACACCGTGCCCCACAGCGCGCCCCATGCTGTGCCCCCGCACCAACCTTCCCCCATACCGCACCCCACACCGTGCCCCACAGCACACCCACCCCATGCCCCACACTCTGCCCCACAGCACACCCACCCCATGCCCCACACTCTGCCCCACAGCACACCCCACAGCATGCCCCACATCGTGCCCCACAGCACACCCACACCGTGCCCCACACCGTGCCCCATAGCACCCCCCACCCCATGCCCCACACTGTGCCCCATAGCATCCCCCACCCCATGCCCACATCACACCCCACCCTGTGCCCCACACAGCGCTCCATGCCGTGCCCCACCCCGTCCTTCAGCGTGCCCCACACGTGCCCCCCCGGCCCCCCCCCCCCGGCCCCCCACTGACTGGTGGCCGTGGGTCCGACGCAGCCGTTGCTGTGGTTGCCGCACTCCCGATCCCGAACCAACGCCTCCTTCAGGCCTCCACTGCGCCACCAGAGACCCCGTCAGCCCCACATCCCCGTCAGCCCCACACCCACCCCGACTGTGACCCCCACCCCACAGCTCGGCTCCCCAAACCCATCCCCCCCTCCCCCCCCCAGCTGTTTGTGACCCCCCACTCTGACCCCCCCCCCACTCTGGTCCCCCCATGTGATCCCCCCCCAACTCCCCATTGCTGCCCCTCACGTGACCCCCCCCCATCACAACTCGATTTGTGACCCCCACCCTGACCCCCCAATCCCACCTCCCCCCGTTCCCCCCCCATTCCATCCCATTCCTCACCCCCCATTTCTGACCCCCCCCATCCCCGATCCCCCCCCGTTATCCCCTTTACCCCCATTTCCCCCAACCCCCACCCCACCCCCCTCCCCCCATCCCAGCCCCCCATTTCTGACCCCCCATCACAGCTCCCTATTTGTGACCCCCACCCCTCCCCTCCCACCCCCCCCACCCCCCCCACCCCAATCCCACCTCCTGTTACCCCCCCTCCCAATTCTACCCCCCCAGTTCTGACCCCCATCCTGACTTCCCCCCGACCCCCCATCCCACCCCATTTCTGACCCCCCACCTCAACCACCCCAATTCCACCTCCCCCCATGTTCCCCCCCCATCCCCATCCCACCCCCCCATTTCTGATCCCTGCACCCTGACCCCCATCCCACCCATTTTTGACCCCCATCCTGACCCCCATCCCACCTCCTTTCTGACCCCCCCCCACCCCATTTCTGACCTCCATCCTGACCCCCATCCCACCCCCTTCCTGACCCCCCCCATCCCACCTCCCCTCGTGCCCCCCCCCATCCCACCCCCTTTCTGACCCCCATCCCACCCCCTTCCTGACCCCCCCCCATCCCACCCATTTCTGACCCCCATCCTGACCCCCATCACACCCCCTTCCTGACCCCCCCCCCCCCATCCCACCTCCCCTCGTGGCCCCCCCCATCCCACCCCATTTCTGACCCCCATCCCACCCCCTTCCTGACCCCCCCCCCCATCCCACCCATTTCTGACCCCCATCCTGACCCCATCCCACCCCCTTTCTGACCCCCCCCACCCATCCCACCTCCCCTCGTGCCCCCCCCCCATCCCACCCCCTTTCTGACCCCCCATCGCCCACCCTCCCTGATGGCGCTGAGCAGCAGCGCGGTGCTGCTGCCCCCATTGGGGTCGCTGTGGAGCAGGGCGGGGGGGCCGGGGGCCGTGGGGTCGTCGCCCCCCCCCCTCAGCGCCTCCATGTCCGCAAACAGCGCCAGCTTCTCCTCCAGCAGCGCCGCGATCTGCCGGTCCTGCTGCTGCAGCCGCTCTGAGGGGCAGAGGTCAGGGGTCAGGGGTCAGAGGGCGCGGCCTGGGCAGCGGGGTCATGGGGACGTGGGGTCACGGGGCTGCTGCTCTATGGGGTCAGAGCTCAGGGGTCACGGGGCGAGCAGCAGGGCTGTGGGGTGAGCTTGGGGTCATGGGGTCATAAGGTCACAGGGTGAGAGGTCACAGGGCCGCTGCTGTGGGCGCTCTAAGAGGTCAGAGGTCAGGGGGCAATGGTCAGAGGGGCAGCGCGGTTGTGGGGATGCGGGGTCACAGGGCTGCCGCAGGTGCTCTAAGAGGTCAGAGGTCAGGGGTCACAGGGTGAGCAGTGGCACTGTGGGGTGAGCTGAGGGGTCAAGGGTCATAAGGCCACAGGGTGAAGGGTCACAGGGCTGCTGCAGGCGCTCTGTGGGGTCAGAGGTCAGGGGTCACAGGGTGAGCAGTGGCACTATGGGGTGATCTTGGGGTCACGGGGTCATAAGGTTACGGGATGAGAAGTCACAGGGCCGCCGCTGTAGGTGCTCTAAGGGGTCAGAGGTCAAGGGTCACGGGGTGAGCAGCGGGGTGAGCTGTGGGGTCAGGGGTCATAAGGTCACAAGGTCACGGGGTCGGGGTCGCGGGCGCCCACCCCTCAGTTTGCGCAGCGACGCCTCCACCTCCGTCTCCACCAGCGGGAAATCCTGCCGGCTGGGGCACCTGCGGGCACCGCGTCAGCGCCCCACTGCGCCCCATAGCGCCCCATAGTGACCCACAGCACCCATAGCATCCCACTACCCCACAGCGCCCCACCGTGCCCCACAGTGCCCTATAACACCCCATAGCACCCCACAGCTCCTCATAGCACCCCATAACACCCACAGTGCCCCACAGCGCCCCATAACACCCCACAGCACTCCATAACGCCCCATAGCACCCCATAACACCCCATAGTTTGCCCCATAACACCCCATAGCACCCCATAACACCCCACAGCACTCCATAACGCCCCATAGCACCCCATAACACCCCATAGTTTGCCCCATAACACCCCATAGCACCCCATAACACCCCACAGCACTCCATAACACCCCATAGCACCCCATAACACCCCATAGCACCCCATAACACCCCACAGCACTCCATAACGCCCCATAGCACCCCATAACACCCCATAGCACCCCATAACACCCCACAGCACTCCATAACGCCCCATAGCACCCCATAACACTCCACAGCGCCCCATAACACCCCATAGCACCCCATAACACCCCACAGCACTCCATAACACCCCATAGCACCCCATAGCGCCCCACAGCACCCCATAGTGCCCCATAGCGCCCCATAACACCCCACAGCACCCCATAGCGCCCCACAGCACCCCATAACAGCCCACAGCACCCCATAACACCCCACAGCACCCCACAGTGCCCCAACCTCATAGCACCGCACCCCCCCCGCAGTGCCCCACACCTCATCCCCAGCCCATCTCCCAGCCCCACGGCTCACCCCACAGCCCCACATCACCCCCCCACCTCACCCCCAGCCCCCCAGCTCCCCCCATCCCCCCAGTGCCCCACAGCTCACTTCCCAGCTCACTCCCCAGCCCCGCGGCCCCACATCACCCCCCAGCACACCCCCACCTCGCCCCACAGCTCACACTTCAGCCCCCCCCATCCCACAGCGCCCCACAGCTCACCCCCAACTCGCTCCCCAGCCCCCCAGCCCCCCCTCCCGCCCTCCTACGGCCCCACACCACCCTCCAACACCCCCAGCCCCCCTCCCAGCCCCCCGGCTCCCCCCTCCTCCCCACATTTCCCCCCACAGCCCCCCCTCCAGCCCCACATGGCCGCTCAGCACCTCCCAGCTCAGCCCCCCGGCGCAGCTCAGCTCGCAGCCCCCCGCTCACCCTCCCAGCCCCCCGGCTGCCCCCCGTCCCCACAGCCCCCCGCTCACTGGCTGACGGCCTGCTGGATGAGGCGCATCCACAGCGTGCGCTCGTCTCGCGAGGCGGCGTGCAGCTCGTACATCTCGGGGGGGGCGGCGCTGAGCAGGAAAAGCCCCTTCTCCTGGTTGGCCACGTCCCTCACCAGCAGCTCGTGCAGAGAAATCACCGCCGGTTTGTCCTGGGGGGGCACGGAGCCGGGGGTCGGCGGGGGGGAGGGGGGCAGGGGTGGGGGGCTGGGGGTGTGAATGGGGGGGGGGAGTTGGGGGGACGTGTGGGGTAAAGGGGTGTGAGATGGAGCTGCTGGGGGGTGGGGAGGGTTTGGGGGGGAGTGTGAGTGGGGGGTGCATGGGGTGGGGTGTGGAGGAGTGTATGGGGTGGGGGTTGGGGGGATGTGGGGGGTAAGGGGTGTGAGATGGAGCTGCGGGGGGGTGGGGAGGGTTTGAGGATGGGGATGTGGGAATTGGGGTGGGAGAAATGGGGGGTGGGGGCAGCAGAGAGGGTGTGTATGGGGTGGGGGTTGGGGAGCGGTGAGGTTTGGGGGCTGGGAGATGGGGGTGGGGGGATGAGGGGGTGGGGAGCATGAAGGAGCTGTGCATGGGGTGGGGATATGTGGGGCTGGGTGGGGTAAGGGGGGGTGAGATGGAGCTGCTGGGGGGGTGGAGGGGGTTTGAGGGGGAGTGAGAGATGGAGAGTGGGGCTGGGGGTGTGAGATGGGGGTGTGAGATGGGGGTGTGTATGGGGTGGGCTTGGGGGGATGTGGGGTTTGGGGGGTGGGAGATGGGGGTGTGGGCTGTAGGGGTGTGATGGGTGGGGGGTGAGCCGGGGGGAGTGCAGAGAGTGTGTATGGGGGGGGGTGAGATGGGGGGTGATGGGGGGTGGGAGCAGCAGGTAGGGGTTGGGGGGTGGGGAGCGGAGAGGGGGTGGGGGGGGCTGTGGGTTTTGGGGGATGTGAGATGGGGTTGTGGGGCTGGGGACGTGAGGGGGGGCGATGGGGGGAATGGAGGAAGTGGGGGGGCATGAAATGAGGGTGCAGAGGTGGGAGGTTGGGGGGCAAGGGGTGGGGGGGTGGGGTTGGTGAGGGAGGAGGGGGGTGGGAGGGGGAGCAGGGGGTTGGCGGGGAGGAGGTGGGGGGGGACGAGGGGTTTGGGGGATGATGGGGATGCAGGGATGTGTGGGGCTTGGGGCAATGAGCTTTTGGGGAATGAGGGGGGGCTGCAGGGTGTGGGGGGGGGCTGAGAGGATGGGGGGGCTGGGGGGCTGTGAGGAGAACAGGGGGCGTGAGGGGCGTTGAGGTGTGGGGCGGGGGCTGCAGGGTGCGGGGTTGGGGGTGGAGAACGGGGAAGGGGCGGGGGGTGACGGGGCTTCGCAGGGTGGGGCTGTGGGGCTGGGGGCCGCGTGGGGCGGCGTGGGGCTGACCGTGGTGGGGAAGGAGAGCTTCTGGTCCTTCTCCTGCAGGAACACGATGACGTCCGTCATCAGCAGCAGCAGCACGTCTGGGGGGAGGGGCTGTCAGCACTTTGCGGCCCCACAGAGCCCCACTGAGCCCCATAGAGCCCCACTGAGCACAATAGAGCTCCACTGAGCCCCATAGAGCCCCACTGAGCCCCATAGAGCTCCACTGAGCCCCACAGAGCTCCACTGAGCCCCATAGAGCCCCACAGAGCCCCATAGAGCTTCACTGAGCCCCATAGAGCCCCACTGAGCCCCATAGAGCTTCACTGAGCCCCACAGAGCTCCACTGAGCCCCATAGAGCCCCACTGAGCACAACAGAGCTCCACTGAGCCCCATAGAGCTCCACTGAGCCCCATGGAGCCCCACAGAGCCCCACAGAGCTCCACTGAGCCCCACAGAGCTCCACTGAGCCCCATAGAGCTCCACTGAGCCCCATAGAGCCCCACAGAGCCCCATAGAGCTCCACTGAGCCCCATAGAGCCCCACAGAGCCCCATAGAGCTCCACTGAGCCCCACTGAGCCTCACGGAGCCCCAGACGCCCCCAACGATCCTCGCGTGACTTTTCAACCTTTGACCCCGTGACCCCCGCCCCACGTGACCCCGCCCCCCCCACCTTTGAAGCGCCCCGCCGCGGTTTTCCACAGGACGCAGCCGCTGTGCAGCAACTTCCGGCGCAGGAGTTCGTCCCGCCCGAAGGTGGCGCAGCCGCTTCCGGCGTCGTTTCCGCTTCCGGGCCGGCCGTCGGCGCGCAGCTGCAGTTTGGCGCGGCCGTCCACGCGGCGGTACACGTCGTACAGGCGCATGCGCAGTTCGTACTCGCGCACCTCCGCGTTGATGGCGGAGATGAGGTCCTTCACCAGCGCCAGGGCGCGGCTCAGCTCCGCCGCCTCCGCCTCGTCCTCTGCCGACAGGAGTGTGGGGCGCCCCATAAGCACCGCCCCATAAGCACCGCCCTATAGGCACCATAACACACAGCCGCCCCATAGCGCAGCACTGCCCCACAGCGCGCAGCCGCCCCATAGCGCTGCACCGCCGCATAACACACAGCCGCCCCATAGCTCAGCACTGCCCCACAGTGCACAACTGCCCCACAGTGCTGCACCGCCATATAGCACACAGCTGCCCCACAGCGCACAGCCGCCCCATAGCGCTGCACCGCCGCATAACACACAGCTGCCCCATAGCTCAGCACTCCCCACAGCGCACAACTGCCCCATAGCGCTGCACCGCCCCATAGCGCACCGCCTCCCCACAGCGCACAGCCGCCCCACAGCACACAGCCGCCCCATAGCGCACAGCCGCCCCACAGCGCTGCACCGCCCCACAGCGCACAGCCGCCCCACAGCGCACAGCCACCCCATAGGGCTGCACCGCCCCACAGCGCTGCACCGCCCCATAGCGCACGGCCTCCCCATAGCGCAGCAGCGCCCCCCAGGGCCGCACCTCGGGAGTTGCGCAGGATGCGCTCGATGAGCACCGGGTATTTGGTGATGCGCTGCGTGACCAGCAGGATGCACTCCGGGACGCCGTGCCGCCGCAGCAGCGGGGAGCGCGCCATGCGCTGCGGGACGGCAGCAGAGGGGTGGGGATGGGGGGCCGAGGGAGGATGGGGGTGAGGGGAGCGGGCAACGGGCTGCGGGGCTGGGGGGGGGCGGGGGTGGGGAATGGGGGGCGGGGGGACGGGGTGTGAGTCCATAGGGGGGCTGAGGGGTGGGAATGGGGGGGGCACGGGATGGGGGGTGGGGGATGGGGGGGTGCGGGGGGCTGAGGGATGGGGGGGTGGAATGTGGGCTCTGGGGGTTGAGCAGGTGGGGAACGGGGCGGGGGGGGTTGGGGGGCTGAGGGGTGGGGAGTGGGGGATGGGGAAGTGGGGGAATGGGGAACAGAGTGATGGGGGATGGGAGGAAGATGGAGCTGTGGGGGAATGGAGCTGTGGGGCACAGAGCAGCTGAACTGTGGAGGAATGGAGCTGTGGGGGATTGGAGCCATGGGGGAAGCAGGGAATGGGGCTGTGGGGCTTTGGCGGAAGGGGGCTCTGGGGAAAGGGCTGTGGGGCAGGGGGCTGTGGGGGAATGGAGTTATAGGGAATGCAGCTACGGGGGAAGGGCTGTGGGGGAATGGAGGAATGGAGCTATAGGGAAAGGAGCTGTGGGGCAGGGGGCTGTGGGGGGGCGGCGCAGTGGGGCGCAGCGGCCGGCAGCAGCTCCCCCCGCCCCCCCTTTACCCGCACGAAGGCCTGCAGCCGTTTGTCCCGCGCCAGCAGCTCCTTGTATTCGCGCAGCGCCGCGCTGTGTTTGCTGCAGAACTCGGCGTAGCATTTGCGCAGCTGGTCTGCGCTCTGCCCTGAGAACTGAGGGGAACGGTGGGAATCAGCGATGGGGATGATGGGAAATGGTGGGAATAAAGGATGGGGATGATGGGAATCAATGATGGGAATGATGGGAATAAAGGATGGGGATGATGGGAAATGGTGGGAATAAAGGATGGGGATGATGGGAATCAATGATGGGAATAAATGATGGGAATGATGGGAATGATGGGAATAAATGATGGGAATGATGGGAATAAACGATGGGGATGATGGGAATAAATGATGGGGATGATGGGAAATAATGGGAATAAATAATGGGAATGATGGGGATGATGGGAAATGGTGGGAATAAATAATGGGGATGATGGGAATAAATAATGGGGAATGATGGGAAATAATGGGAATGATGGGAATGATGGGAATGATGGGAATAAAAATGGGAATGATGGGAATAAATGATGGGAATGATGGGAAATAATGGGGAATGATGGGAATAAATGATGGGGATGATGGGAATAAATGATGGGGATGATGGGAATAAAAATGGGAATGATGGGAATAAATGATGGGAATGATGGGAATAAACGATGGGGATGATGGGAAATAATGGGAATGATGGGAATAAAAATGGGAATGATGGGAATCAATGATGGGAATGATGGGAATCAATGATGGGGATGATGAGAATAAAAATGGGAATGATGGGAATAAATGATGGGAATGATGGGAATAAATGATGGGGAATGATGGGAAATAATGGGGAATGATGGGAATAAATGATGGGAATGATGGGAATAAATGATGGGGATGATGGGAAATAATGGGGAATGATGGGGAATGATGGGAATGATGGGGAATGATGGGAATGATGGGAAATAATGGGGAATAATGGGGAATGATGGGAATAATGGGAAATAATGGGGAATGATGGGGAATGATGGGAATGGTGGGAATGATGGGGAATGATGGGGAATGATGGGGAATGATGGGAATGGTGGGAATGATGGGGAATGATGGGGAATGATGGGGAATGATGGGAAATAATGGGGAATGATGGGAATGATGGGAATGATGGGAATGATGGGGAATGATGGGAAATAATGGGGAATGATGGGAATGATGGGGAATGATGGGAAATAATGGGGAATGATGGGGAAGCAGGGCTGCCCCCCAGCACCACTGCAGCTCCCATGGGGGCACGATGCCACCCCCGTCCCCGCTGCAATGGCCGCCATTTCCCCCCCTGCACCTCGCTGTCCCCACCCGCGCCATGACCATCTCCCAGTGCCCCCTGGGACAACCAGGACGTCCCCCATCGTCACCAGAGCCACCCCTGCCCCCACCCTGATGGCCACCGTGTCACCTGCTGCCACCCGCTGTCACTCCAGCGCCCCCTCCTGGCCCACCAGGACTTCAACCCCCCCCCGTGCCACCAGTCATCCCGGTGCCCTCACCTGGTGCCCAGGATGTCACCCAGTGCCACCCAGCGTTCCCCAGTGCCACCTGATCAGCATCCTTGCGCCGTCCCCCCACCCGGCTCACCAGAACGCCCCCCAGTGCCCCCAGTGCCCCCAGTGCCCCTGCTGGGCTGACCAGGACATCCCCCAGTGCCCCCCTGCCCCCCCAGGCAGACCAGGATGTCCCCCAGCGCCCCCCCACTGTCCCCACGTCACCCGGTGCCACCCAGTGTCACCTCACTGTCCTCCCCTGGCTGACCAGGGCGCCCCTCAGTGCCACAGTGACCCCAGTGCCCTCAGCTGGTGGCCACGATGTTTCCCAGTGCCACCCAGTGACCCCATGGGGCTCATCGTGATGTGCCCTGGTACCGCCAGCGCCCCCACCTGCCTGACCAGGACCCCCCCCATGCCAGGACTCCCCTCCCCCCATACCTGGCTGACCAGGACCCCCCCCACACCAGGACCCCCCCCATACCCAGCTGACCAGGACCCCCCCCATACCAGGATCCCCCCCCCCCACAAACCTGGCTGACCAGGACCCCCCCATGCCAGGACCCCCCCCCCCCCATACCTGACTGACCAGGAGCCCCTCCATACCAGAACCCCCCCATGCCAGGACCCCCCCCCCATACCCAGCTGACCAGGACCCCCCCCCGCACCAGGACCCCCCCATACCCGCCTGACCAGGACCCCCCCATGCCAGGACCCCCCCCATGCCAGGACCCCCCCCATACCAGGACCTCCTCCATGCCAGGACCCCCCCCCCACCCCCCATACCCAGCTGACCAGGACCCCCCCCGCACCAGGACCCCCCCCATACCTGCCTGACCAGGACCCCCCCCATGCCAGGACCCCCCCCATACCAGGACCTCCCCCATACCAGGACCCCCCCCCCACCCCCCATACCCAGCTGACCAGGACCCCCCCATGCCAGGACCCCCCCCATACCTGGCTGACCAGGACGTCCCCCAGGCGCTGGATGACGAAGTTTTTGCTGCTGCCCCCCACGAGGGAGAGGCGGCGGCGCTGCAGGAGCTGCGCCAGGAAGCGTTGGTGCAGGGCGCTCAGCTCATCCACGCAGGGGAAGACGGCGTTGACGGCGCCGGGCTGCAGCTGCAGCTCCTCCAGCATGGCGCGCCGCAGCACGCTGCCCATGATCTTCAGCGTGCGCACGTGGTGCAGCTCCGTCTGCATCAGCTCTGGGGGGATGGGGGTCAGCGGGGGTCACGGCGCGGCCCCCAGGCGGGGCGGCCCAGTCCTGCCCCACGGCGCAGCTGCACGAGCGCCCGGCCGGGAGCCCACGTCCCCCTGCTACCCGTCCCCGCGACCCCAGCTCTGCAGCCCCCCCCGCAGCCCCATGTCCCCACCTGCGTCCCCTCACCTACAGCCCCACATGTCCCCACCTGCGTCCCCACCCCACACCCCCACCCGTCCCCGTCTCTCTCCCCAGTCACATCCCCTGTCCCCACCCTGGATTTCCCACCAGTCCCCACGTCCCCATCTCTGTCCCCCCCCCAGCCAACCAACCCAAACCCCCCCACCCCCCATCCCGTGTCCCCGTCCCCCATCCGACCCATCCCCACATCCCCGTTCCTGTCCCCCAGCTCTGCATCCTCACCCCTTGCGTCCCGCCCGTCCCCACGTCCCCCACTGTCCCACCCCCGTGTCCCCACACCCCAACCCGTCCCCCCATCCCCACCCCCCATCCCCACATCCCCACCCCAGTCCCCTTTCTGTCCCCATCCCCACACCCCCGTCCCTCCCCACACCCCCACACCCCCGCATCCCGATCCCCATCGCCACCCCCCGTGTCCCCATTCCCGTCCCCCCGCCCCCCGTCTCACCATAGATGACGTCCTGCCGCTTCATGACGTCGGCGCGCTGCAGCTGCAGGAAGGCGCCGTCCACCGCCAGGCTCCACGAGTCGGCCGCGAAGTCGCGCTCGTCCGCCTCCAGCTCCGCCAGCAGCTGCTGCACCACCGCGTCGGGGCCTGCAGGCGGGGCCCCGTGTCACCGTGCCCCCACGTCCCCAATGCCCACCCCTGTGTCCCCACGTCCCCCATACCCATCCCTGTGTCCCCACATCCCTGTGTCCCCATGTCCCTGTGTCCCCATGTCCCTGTGTCCCCACGTCCCCCATCCCCATCCCTGTGTCCCCATGTCCCTGTGTCCCCACGTCCCCAATCCCCATCCCTGTGTCCCCACATCTCTGTGTCCTCATGTCCCCAATGCCCACCCCTGTGTCCCCACGTCCCTGTGTCCCCATGTCCCCAATGCCCACCCCTGTGTCCCCACGTCTCTGTGTCCCCACGTCCCCCATCCCCATCCCTGTGTCCCCATGTCCCTGTGTCCCCACGTCCCTGTGTCCTCATGTCCCCAATGCCCATCCCTGTGTCCCCACATCTCTGTGTCCCCATGTCCCCAATCCCCATCCCCATGTCCCCATGTCCCTGTGTCCCCACGTCCCCCATCCCCATCCCTGTGTCCCCATGTCCCTGTGTCCTCATGTCCCCAATCCCCATCCCTGTGTCCTCATGTCCCCACGTTCCCATCTCCCCTCATCCCCGTGTTCCCCCATGCCCACACCCCCATCCCCACATCCCCGTGTCCCCAGTCCCCATCTCCGTGTCCCACATCCCTGTGTCCCCAATTCCCATCCGTGTCCCCACACCCCCGTGTTCCCCCGTCCCCACATCTCACACCCCCACCCCCACATCCCCCCATCCTCGCGTCCCCACATCTCACACCCCCCCTCCACCCAAACCCCCGCGTCCCCACCTTCGTCGATGAGGGACTCCACAGACAGCGTGCGGTTCCGGACGTTCAGGGAGTCGGTGGACTGGGACAGAATGCGGCGAATCCCCAGCGCCGATTCGTCATTGAACGTCCTGGGGGGGAGGGGACAACAGCACAGCGGGGGCGGTGACTGGGGGCGTCCAACCCCAGGGACACCGCAGGGACACCGCAGGGACATCCTGAAGGTCACACATAGGGACACCCGAGGACCCCTCCCCAGGGACACCGGAAGGACCCCCCCAGGACCCCCCAGGAGCCCCCCAGGACCCCCCAGGACCTCCCAGGACCCCCCCAGGAGCCCCCAGGAGCCCCCCAGGACCCCCCAGGACCCCCCAGCACCCCCCCAGGACCCTCCCAGGACCCCCCAGCACCCCCCCAGGACCCCCCCAGGGCCACCTCTTGGGACACCCCAAGGACACCCCGAAGGACCCCCCCCCCCCCAGGGCCACCTCTTGGGTCATCGCCAGGCCCCCCCCCGGTCCCCCCGCCCCCCTCACCCCGCGATGTTGGTGGTGGAGACGCTCTTGGAGAGGGACAGCGAGGGGCGGCCGCGGCGCGGGCCCAGCAGGGACTGCCGGAAGCTCTCCGAGGGGTAAACGGCCGAGTTGGGGCGCTCGCGGGGGGCAGCTGGGATGGGGGGACGGGGGGATGGGGTCAGCGCAGCCAGCGCCGCAGGGAGACCCCCGGCTGGGCGCCCCCCCCCCCCCCCCACGTGCCCCCACCCCACACGGGGTGCCCCCGGCCCACCCAGGGGGTCCCGACCCCCCCCGGCCCACCTCAATCTGCTCCCACCCCATCCCTGGGGGCCCCCAGTCGCCCCACGTGGCCCGATCCCAAAATGTCTCCCACCCGACTCAGGGCGTCCCCAATCCATCCCTGGGGGTCCCCAACCACCCTTGATGTCCCCGAAGCGTCGCCAGCCCACATCAAGGTGGCCCCAAACCATCCTGGGGTCCCCCAGGTGCCCCCAACCCACCCAAGGTGTCCCCAACCCATCCCAGGGGGTCCCCAGTCACCCCACGTGACCCCATCCCAAAACGTCCCCAACCCGACTCAGGGGGTCCCCAGTCCATCCCTGGGGGTCCCCACCCCACCCCCATGGCCACAACCAATCCCCAAACGTCCCCAGCGAATCCCAGAGGGTCCCCAGTTGCCCCCCATGGCCCCAACCCACCCCAAAGTGTCCCCAACCTGCCCTATGGCCCCACCCAGGGGTCCCCAACCCACCCAGGGGGTCCCCAAAATGTCCCCAGCCCCCATCAAGGTGACCCCCAACCCATCCCAGGGGTCCCCAACCCTTACGGAGGGTCCCCCCCCCCCCCCCGCCGCCGCCCCCCACTCACTCTTGTTGCGCAGTGACACCGACTGCAGCGCTGTGCTGTTCTTCAGCAGCGCCGCCTTCTGCTGCTGTGGGGGGGGGGGGAGGGGGGGGGGGGGCACATTGTCACCGCGGTGTCGCCCCCCCCCACCGCCCCCCGCGACCCCCAAACCCCCCGCCCCCCCCCGCTCACCTTCTGCTTCACCTTGGTGCAGTTGGGCAGCGTGTCCTTGCAGCGGTTGTGGATGGTGACATTGCAGGCTGCCAAGGGGGGGGACACGACGTGACCATGAGGATGAGGACCCCCCCCAGCTCCCCCCGCCCGACATCTATGGGGCGCAGCCCCCAGCCCCACGGCGCCCTGCCCCCATGTCCCCCTGTTTTATGCCCCCCACATCTCACGGCCCTGTGTCTCACATCCCCCTGTCCCCCTGTCCCTGTGCCCCACGGCCCTGTGACACCGGGTCCCACGCCCCCACGTCCCCCTGCCCCCACTTCCATCTGTCCCCATGTCTCACATCCCCGTGTCCTTCTGTCCCCATTCCCCATCTGTGTCCTATGCCCCCACGTCCCTCTGTCCCCACACCTCACACCCCGTTGTCCGTTTGTCCCCATCTCCTCCAGCCCCACGTCCCCACGTCCCCACGTCCTTGTCCCCCCGTGTCCTACGCCCCCATGTCCCCATTTTCATGTGTCCCCATGTCCCTCTGTCCCCGTTTTCGTACCCCCACGTCCCCACGTCCTTCTGCCCCACATCCCCACATCCCTCCATCTGTGTCCTACGTCCCCAACTTCCATGTCCCCACACCCCCATGTCCCTCTGTCCCCGTGCCCCACGTCCCTCCGTCCCCACACCTCACGTCCCCGCGTCCTTTTGTCCCACGTCCCCCCGTCCCGCACCCCCCCCCCTTCCCCTATGGGGCGACATCCCCACGGCGATGCTCACAGCGCCTTGCAGTGCGCTCCTAAAGGAGCGGGAACACAGCGCAGCGCTGCCCCATAGCAGCATCACCCCATAGCAGCATCACCCCATAGAGCAGCACGCACCCCATAGCAGCGTGTGGGGCTGAGGGATGCTGCCCCACAGACGCAGCAGTCCCAGCAGCAGCCGCCCACCCCTGCGGCAGCGCAGCGCTGCAGCACCGGCCCACGGCGCAGAGCCCATGGTGCAACACGGGGCTCCGAGCTCCCTGCCCCACAGCCACCCCACAGCCGCCCCACAGCCGCCCCACAGCCCGTCTCACGGCCAGCCCACATCCAACCCCACATCCAACCCCACAGCTGCCCCACAGCTGCCTCACGGCCACCCCACATCCAACCCCACAGCCGTCCTACAACCCATCCCACAGCTGCCCCACGGCCACCCCACACCCAACCCCACACCCAACCCCACAGCTGCCCCATAGCATACTTCGCAGCCGCCCCATAGCCTGCCCCACACCCACCCCACACCCCACTTCATAGCTACCCCACAGCTCACAGCTCACCCCACAGCCATCCCACAACCCGCCCCACAGCCACCCCACAGCCACCCCACAGCCTGACCCACAGCCGCCCCCCGGCCCCCCACCCCCCCCCGGCCCCCCGGCGCTCACTGGGGCAGATGAGGGCCTCCTTGGCGGTGATGCTCTTGTTGCAGGCGAAGCACATGGTCATCCCCGACACGGTGATGGTGGTGAAGAGGTGCCCGTTGGTGTAGCGCGCGTCCTTCTCCTTGCCCTCCTTCATCCTCTCCTTGCTCTGCCCCACAGCACGGCCGCTCGATCTCCCCGTAGGGCCGCGGCCCCCAGGACCCCCCGGCGCGGCGCCCCGACCCCCGGCCGCCCCCCGGCCCTGCGGAGGATCCCCCATAGCGGCGGCGCGGCGGAGCCGAGGGAACCGAGGGAAGCGGGCGCCCGATCGCGGCTCCCCAGCGCGTTTCCACGGCGACGGCGGCGGATGCTCCGACGTGTGAACCCCCCCCCCCGCCCCCCCCCACCCCCCACGCCGCCACCCCCCAGCGCCCCCAGACCTTGCGCGGCACAGCGGGGCCCACGTGTGGGGCGGCCCCACAGCAACACGTGGGGGGCAGCTCAGCGCTATGGGGCAGCGCCGGGGGGCCCTGCGCCCACCCCAATATGGCCCCCCAGAGATGGCACTGCCGTCCCATTGCCCCCATCCCGCTGCCCCCAATCTCATCCCATTGCCCCAACCCACTGCCCCCATCCCCACCTATTGCCCCCATCCCCATCCCACTGCCCCCATCCTGCTGCCCCCATCCCCACCCCATCACCCCCATCCCCACCCCATCGCTCCCTGTCCCCACTTCCATCATTCCCAGCTCCCACCTCACCCCATTCCTGTTCCCATCCCATCCCACCCCCTTCTCAATTCCCATCCCATCCCATTCCCTCCCAGTTCCCACCATTATCCCAACCCCATCCCATCCCGTTCCCATCCCAATTCCCATCCTCACCCCAGTTCCCCCCCATCGCTGACCCACAGGGACGCACAGGGGTTCGGCCCCTCAAGGACCCCCCCCCCCCCCATAGGGTCCCCCCCTTCCCCCCCCCCCCCCCCACAGGCAGATCTCCACTTGACCCCAAATAACCCCTGTGGGTTTGGGGTTTGGGGGCACAGCACTCACACTGCGACCCCCACCGCAGCCCCCCCCCCAAACCCCAACGCCACTGCACTCCTCCCATGGGGGCGCTGGGAGTAATGGGGGGTGATGGGGGGGGGCTTCACCCCAAAAAGTCCAAATGGGATCAAATGACCCCAAAAAAGCGAACCTCCCCCCCCCAGACCCCAAAGCAGCCGACAACTCCAACGCCCCTCACACGCAGCCCCTAAATCCACCCCCCCCCCCCGGCTCCCAATCCCAATGCCTATAATGGGACCCCCCCCATCCCCCCCCCCCGTGCTTTTGGGGTCACCAACAGTCGGTTGTGCTGCAGGAAATGGGGGCTCACAGCACTGCAGCGGGGACCCCCCAGCGCCCCCCCATTGTGCCCCCCCCCACTGACAGCTGCAGGCTGAGGCTGGTGGCCGCGCTCCAAATGGCTGCGATCCGCCCCCCCCCCCAGCTGTCACAGCCCCCCCAAAATGAGGGCGTGGGAACCGAGCCCAGAATGAGCCCCAAAATGGGGACCCCAAAATGAGACCCAAATCTGAGAGACTCCAAAACTGAGAGCCCAAAACAGAGACCCCAAAATGGAGACCCCCAAACTGGGCTCCCCAAAACTGACACCCCAAAAAGTGAGACCCCAAAGTGAGGTCCTCAAAACTCAGACCCTAAAACAGAGATCCCAGATTGAGACCCCAAAACTGCGGCCCCCAAAACCGGGACCCCAAAAAAAGAGATTCCAAATTCAGGCTCCAACACAGAGACCCCAAAAACTGGGATCCAGACCTGAGACCCCAAAGCGAGGTCCTCAAAACTCGAACCCCAAACCGAGACCCCAAAACCGAGACCCCAAAACCGAGCCCCCAAAACCGAGCCCCCCGGGGCCCCGATCTCCCAGCAGACATTTCGCAAGCAGCCCCTCCCCACTGCCGAGACCCCAAAATGGAGACACCAACCCCCCCCAACGCCGCCCCCCCCCCAGGGCTGAGATCCTCGACGCTGAGCCCCAAACCGACCCCAAAACGGCGACCCCAAAAATCCGCCCCGATCGCCGCCCCCCCCCCCAGCTGAGGCCGCACGAACTCACGGCAGCGCCGCCGCACCACGTGACCGGAGGGGGGGGGGGGCGCACAGCGTTGCCCCCCAGCCCCCGTTCCGCCCCCAACCCGGGGCTCTTTGCGCCCTACGTCCCCTGCGGGACCCCAGCCCCCCCAGCCCCCATCCCCCCCCTTGGGGGTCCCTACGCCTCCACCTCCCCCCCCCAACTTTATGACCCCCCCCCCCCCGGGGTCTCCGTGCCTCATTTCCCCCCCCCCGTCATTCCGCCCCTTCCTCTGCCCCCCCCCCCCGGCGGCTCGTCGCCCCTTTCGGTCCCACCCCCCCCCCCGGGGGTCTCCGCGCCTCAGCTCCCCCCGCCCCCCCTTTGTGTCCCGGACAATAACGGCCATTTCCGCCGCAGGAAGAGCCCCCCCCCCACCCCCCCGCGGCGCCGGGCAGCGCCGCACACAAAGCGGAACGGGAACGGGGGGGGGGGCCTCGGTGGGGCGGCCCGCATTGTTCCCCGCACAATGGGCCGCTCCGCAGCGCTCGCGGTCCACGCGCGCCCCAACCCCGCGTGGGACGGGACGGAACGGCGGCACCGAGCGACGGCCGGAGCCCCGAGCGAATCGCCGCCCCGCCGCTCCCGACAGACGCGACAGAACCCCGATCAGCCCCGACAGAGCCCCGATCGATCCCGATCCATCCCGACTGATCCCGGTCCGGTCCCGATAAACACCGGCAAACGTCGACACGGCGCCGTCCGAAGCCTCGAATCGCGACACCGACGACCCCCCCCCCAAAAAAACAACAAAACCAACCCCAAAACTCCGAAGGAGCCCCAGCAGCGCCCGGAACCACCGCCAACCCCGAACCGCACGCAGCCCCACCGCCCCATAACCTCACCGCCCCATAACCTCACCGCCCCATAACCTCACCGCCTCATAACCTCACCGCCCCATAACCTCACCGCCCCACCGCCCCACCGCCCCACCGCCATCCCAACAAAGCCCCATAACCTCCCACCCCCGACCAACCCCACAAAGCCCTGTAACCCCATCACCCCAACCCCCGGAACCACTCCAACAAAGCCCCATCACCCCATAACCACCCCACGGCCCCAAACCTCAACACCCCATAACTGACAAAAGCCCGGAACCCCAACGAAGCCCCACAACGAACCCCACAGAACCCCATCAACCCAACAAAGCGCCGTGACCCCAAACCCCAAAACTCCATCAAAACCCCGGAACCACACAAAGCCCCACAACCCCACAGCAGAGCTGACAAAGCCCCACAACCCCGTCACCCCAAACCCCACAACCCCGACAAAACCCCGACCCTCTGATTCCCCCCCCTTCCTCACACACTGCCGCTCCCCCCCCCCCGGCCCCATAACTCCCCCCGCTATGGGGTTTTCTCCCTCCCGGCCCCACAACTCCCCCCTCCCCCCGGCTATGGGTGCCCCCCCGGCCCCACAGCCCCCCTCCCCGCTATGGGGTTTCCCCCCCCGCTCCCACCTTGCCGCTCCGATCGCCCCTCGCCGCGATCCGGGACATCCCCGTCCCCCCGCCCTATAGGGCTCCTCCCCCCCCGGGGGCGGCCCCACAGCCTCGTGCAGCCGCGGGCTCTTTGTTTTAGGGTCGGGGGCCGCTCCGGCGCTACGGGGCGGAGAGGGGTCGGAATTGGGGTCACCCCATAGGGTCACCCCCCCCCTCCCCCCATGGGCATAAAGATGGGGTCCCACTGTTGTGGGGGGAGCCGTCATCCCCAGCCCGGGGGGGGAAAAACCCCATCGGTGGGGCATCGCCCTAAAAGGGGCGGGGGGGGGACGGGGACGTGACCCCAGTGGGGGGCATCACCCCAAATGGGGGGGGGCGTCACCCTACATGGCCGTGTGACCCCAACGCCCCATAAGGGACAGCAGAGCAGTGGGGACGGAGCACCTGGAGAGGCTTCTGGGGTCCTCAGCAACACCTCGTCCTGCCGGCCCCATAAGTGCAGGCAGCCCCATAAGAACAGCTGGCCCCATAAGAGTGGCCAGCCCCATAAGCATAGGCAGTCCTATAAGTGCAGGCAGCCCCATAAGCACCACTGACCCCATGAACACAGGCAGCCCCATAAGCAGGGCAGTCCCATAAGAACAGCTGGCCCCATAACAATGGCCAGTCCTGTAAGTGCAGGCAGCCCCCATACGGGTTGCCAGCCCCATAAGCATCGCTGACCCCATAAGTGCAGGGCAGCCCCATAAGCGCGACTGACCCCATAAGTGCCGGCAGCCCCATAAGCCCCGCTGACCCCATAAGTGCCAGCAGCCCCATAAGCCCCGCTGACCCCATAAGTGCCAGCAGCCCCATAAGCCCCGCTGACCCCATAAGTGCCGGCAGCCCCATAAGCCCCGCTGACCCCATAAGTGCCGGCAGCCCCATAAGCCCCGCTGACCCATAGCGGCGCCGTGGGCCGCGCACAAACGTTATTGTTGGCACCGCCCCACTGCGCCCCGGGGGTCGCAGCTCCGGGCCGCCCCCACAGCGCCAACAGCGCGCCTTTGTTGGGGCAGCGCGGGGGGCGGCGGGGCGGAACCGAGCAGCCCCAAATGCCGGCCCTGCACCCAAAGCGGCTCCTGAAGCCCAAACCCAAACCCCCGTCCCGAACCCCAAACCTGGGTCCCAAAGCCGGTTCCCAAATCCTCAATCCTCATCCTAAACGCTGGCCCCAAACGTCGGCCCCAAAGCCCGGACCCAAACCCCAAATCCGCCTCCTCACTCCTCATCCTAAACCCCACCCCCAGCTCCTCAATCCCGGTCCCAAATCCTAAATCCTGATCCCAAACCCCAAACTCCAAACCCTGACCCAAAGCCCCCTCCTAACCCTGAGTCCTGGTCCTAAAGCCGATCCCAAAATCAGTTCCCAAAGCCCGGTCCCAAATCCTAAACCCGGGTCCCAAATCTCAAGCCTTGGTCCCAAACCCCAGAGCGACGTCCCAAATCCCAGCCCCAAACTTCCCTGTGATGCCACCGATGGGCCCCAGCTGTGCCCCATAGAGCCGCGGGGGTGCGGGATCCGGGCTGACCCCACAGCATCCCACAGCGCCCCACTGTGCTCCACAGCGCCCCACTGTGCTCCATAGCACCTCATTGTGCCCCACAGCTCCCCATTGTGCCCCACAGCGCCCCATTGTGCCCCACAGCGCATTTCCTTCCCCGGAGCAAAAGCCTCCATGCAAATTTCGTTTCCACTTCCCCCAAACGCCGCCCCACAGCCAAGGGGCACCGCTCCCCCCACAGGGCACAACTTTTCCCCATAGGGCCCAGCTCCCCCCATAGGGCACAACTTTTCCCCATAGGGCAGGGCGTTCCCCCATATCTGTGGGGCGGCGTCGAGCCGCGCTCCACCCTTCCCCTGAAAAAACCCCACACCGACGGAAGGAAACGCGCAGCCGAGGTTCGCTCCACCGCCCTCCCGAGGGGCAGAATGTGGGGCGGGATGTGGGGCGGCCCCATGGATGTGTGGGGCGGGAGGCGGAAAACCCCGTGAGCGTCACGTGGGGGGGGGGGAGGAAGCGCAGCGCGGGGAGACGGGGGGCGGGGGGGGGCTGCCCCATAGCCAGGGGACCCCGAGATCTGTGGGGCACCCAACGGCCGTGGGGATCCCAACAGCTATGGGGCGCCCCGAGATCTATGGGGCGCCCAGTGGCTGCGCAGACCCAAAGTCTGTTGGGGACCCCGAGATCTATGGGGCATCCAACGGCTCTGGGGACCCCAAGATCTATGGGGCGCCCCACGGCCCTGGGGACCCCCCGGGCCACGTGGAGAGCCCGATGTCCGTGGGGAACCGTAATGAGCGCCCATAGGAGACCCCAACCCCGCACCCACGGGGACCCCAACATCTGCGGGACCCCAAAACATGCGGGACCCCAACATCTGCGGGACCGCAGGGCGCGGGGAGCCCCGATATCTGTGGGGGAACCCCGACGTCTGTGGGGACCCCCGGACCTATGGAGGAACCCCGATATCAGGGGACCCCGACATCCGGGGGGACCCCGACGTCCAGGGGGAGCCCCGATCCCGAGGGGGGACCCCAATGTCGGTGCGACCCCAATGTCGATGTGACCCCAATGTCGATGTGACCCCAATGTCTGTCTGTGACCCCAATGTCGATGTGACCCCAATGTCGGTGGGTCGCCACGCTCGCATCGCGGTCCCGCCTCCCCCCCCCCTCCCTTTCGGCCGCCGCCGTGGCTCCGCCGCCCCGCGCCGCCCCGCAGCTCCGCCAGCTCTTCTCCCCCCCGCCCCACTTCCGCCCCGCACGCCTCCTTTTGGGGTCCCCCCCGTCCCCCCCTCCCCGCTCACCGCCGGCGCCCCCCGGCCGTGCATGGCGCCCCGCGCCGCTCCGCGCTTCCTCAATCGGGCCGGTCCCACCCACGGCCCCCCCGGCACCGGAACCGCGCGGAGCTGCGGGCACCGAACCGCACCGCCGCCCAAAGGCGCCCCGCAAACACCCCGCAGCCCGGGACCCCGCTTTCCGTACTGACCCCATAACTCCAGCGGTCCCACGCCCCCCCGTGATCCCACATCCCCCACTGACCCCCCAACCTCCCCAGTGACCCCACGTCCCCCCACGACCCCATAACTCCCCACACCCCCACGATGACCCCACGAGCCCCTGTGAACCCCATGACCCCCCCAGTGACCCCGCACCCCCCTCAATAATCCCATAACCCCCCAATGATCTCAAATCCCCCCACGACCTCAGACCTTCTGGTGACCCCACGACCCACATCCCATAGCGACCCCACAAGCTGCTGACCCCACATCCCCCAGGGACCTCATAACCCCAACGACCCCATAACCCCCCACGACCCCACACCCCCCAGGGACCCCGCATCCCATAATGACCCCAGCACCCCTCCAGTGACCCCACGTCCCCCCTGACCCCACATCCCCCCACCATCCCAGATCCCTCGATGACCCCACATCCCCAGTGACCCCACAACCTCCTGGTGACCCCACAACCCTCCCCAGCGGTCCCGCATCCCCCCCCGGTGACCCCACAACTCCCCTCAGTGACCCCCATCACCCCATAACCCCCACTGAACCCATAACCCCCCAGTGGCCCCACACGTCACCCCCATCCCATGGGGTTCCCCTATGGGGTTTCCCATTTCTTCCTGCCCCACCCCACCGATGTCCCCCCCCCCCCGGTGCCCCCCCCGGTGCCCCCCCGCTGTTCCCGGACCCCGCAGGGATTTGGGGGGGGGTTTATGAGGGAGTTGTGTGGGGTCAGCAGCTCGCGGGGTCGCTATGGGACGGGGGGTCACTGAGCCGCGGCCCCCCGCGCCCCTTCTGCCCCCATTTGCCCCCATTGGGCTGCAGGGGCGGAGGCGGGGCGCAAAAGCCCTAAAAGCCGTTTTTGGGGCTGGGGGGGACGGGACGCCCGGAGCCCTTTGGGGGCACAAAGTCACCAAATCCCCGCGGCGGCACCGGGGGGGGGGGGGGGGTGAGGGGGGGGGGCAGGGCCGCCCAGCGCCGCTGATGCAATCGGAGCGCGGGGGGGGGGGGCGGTGCGGGGCCGGAACACAGCGGGAAGGGGGGGGGGGGGGGGGGGGGGGGCACAGCGGCGCTGCGACCGGAGCGGGAGCGCAGGGACACCGGGACACCGGGACACCGGGCTGGGAGCGCCGGGTCGCCCCACACCGGGAGCGCCGGGGACACGAAGCGGCGCAGCGCCCGGCGCACAGAGCGGCACTCCGCTGCTCCTTCGCCTCGTTTCCTCCGCCGCTGCGTGGGCGCTGCCCCGACCCCACAGCGGCCCCGTAGCGCCCCGTAGCGCCCCGTAGCGGCCCCAAGGCTGCCACGCAGTGTCCCATAGCGGCTCCACAGCGGCCCCATAGCGCCCCATAGCGGGCCCATGGCAGCCCCATGGCAGCCTCATGGCAGCCCCACAGCGGTCCCATGGCAGCCCCACAGCAGCCCCATAGCAGCCCCATAGCAGCCCCACAGCAGCCCCATAGCAGCCCCATGGCAGCCCCACAGCGGTCCCATAGCAGCCCCATAGCAGCCCCACAGCGGTCCCATAGCAGCCCCATGGCAGCCCCACAGCGGTCCCATAGCAGCCCGACAGCAGCCCCATGGCAGCCCCACAGCGGTCCCATAGCAGCCCCATAGCAGCCCCACAGCGGTCCCATAGCAGCCCCATGGCAGCCCCACAGCGGTCCCATAGCAGCCCCATGGCAGCCACGCAGTCCCATAGCGGCCCCACAGCGGCCCTGCAGCAGCCCCACGGCTGCCCCACAACGGCCCCATCCCCTCCCCACGTTTTGGGGCCCCCAGACCCCGTGCTGCATTTTGGGGTTCCCCATTCCAGCACCGCATTTTGGAGCCCCCATTCCAGCACTGCTTTTTGGGGTCCCCATCTGCTCCTCAACCCCACACCGCATTTTGGGGTCCCCGCAGCTTCTCCCCCCAGTATGGGGTCCTCATCCCCACATTTTGGGGTCCCCGTCCCCTCCCCACACTTTGGGGTCCCCACTCTCATTTTGGGGTCCCCAATCCTTTCCCCACATCATGGGGTCTCCCACCCCCTTCCCTTATCTTGAGGTTTCCCTCCCCACATTTTGGGGTCTCCATCCTCCCCCCACACATTGGGGCTGCATCCTTTCCACACATTTTCGGGTCCCCCATCCCCTCCCCAAACATTGGGTCCCCCCTCCCCACATCTTGGGGTCTCCAATCCCAACGCTGCATTTTGGGGTCCCCCATTCCCTCCCCACATTCTGGTATCCCCACCCTCACCCCACATATTGGGCTCCCATCCCCTCCCCACATATTGGGTCCCCCTCCCCACATTTTGGGGTCTCCATCCTCCCCCCACACATTGGGGCCGCATCCTTTCCGCACATTTTCGGGTCCCCCATCCCCTCCCCAAACATTGGGTCCCCCCTCCCCACATTTTACCGTCTCCAATCCTCCCCCCACATTTTGGGCTCTCCATCCTCTCCCCACATTTCAGTGTCTCCAACCCCAGCGCTGCGTTTTCGGGTCCCACTCCCTGCCCCCCGTCCGGGGTCCCCTACCTTCACGTTCCCGGTCATCCTCCGGATGAAGCCGCGGGTTCTGCCCGGGGGGCTCCCGGCCCGCCCCCCCCCTCGGCCCCACGGCTGCGGGAGCGCGCAGCTCAGCGCACAATCCGCCTCTGTCCCACCGGCCGCGCCGGGACGCGGGGAGGAGCGAGCGCTGCCCCGCAGCCGCAGCTGGGCGAGCACAGAGCCGCTCTGTTCCGGGCGCTGCCCCACAGCTGCGGGGTGGGGGGACTGGAGGCTGCCCCATAGCTGAGGGATGGGGTCGACGTAGAGCTGCCCCATAGCTGTAGGTATTGTCGGTGTAGGGCTGCCCCACTGCTGAGGGGTTGGGGGGCTGGGGGGCTGCCCCATAGCTGGGGGATGGGGCCGGCGTGGGGCTGCCCCATAGCTGAGGGATGGGGTCGACGTAGAGCTGCCCCATAGCTGTAGGTATTGTCGGTGTAGGGCTGCCCCACTGCTGAGGGGTTGGGGGACTGGAGGCTGCCTCGTTGCTGAGGGATGGGGCCGGCGTGGGGCTGCCCCATAGCTGAGGGATGGGGGGCTGGAGGCTGCCCCATTGCTGAGGGATGGGGTCGATGTAGAGCTGCCCCATAGCTGTGGGTATTGTCCGTGTAGGGCTGCCCCACTGCCGAGGGGTTGGGGGGCTGGGGGGCTGCCCCATAGCTGGGAGATGGGGTCGAGTGTGGGGCTGCCCCATAGCTGGGGGTACAGACGCTCGGGGCACCGCGGCCCCGGTTTGGTGCCCCGCTCAGCTGTGGCTCCGCCCCACGGGTGGCTGCGGGGCCGTGGGCTGCGCAGCGCTGCCCCACGTGGGGGCTCAGGACGCCTCCGCTGCTCCCCACGGCCCCCCCAGCTCACGGGCAGCTCAGAGGGGCGTCCCAATGCCCCCCACGTGCGGAGCGCTGCCCCATAGACTGGGACGTGTGTCGTGGTCAGCCCCACACCGGCCCCACAGCTCATCCCAGCCCCACACCGACCCCACATCCCCCACATTCCCCGCACCCCATATCTCATCCCATCCCCACAATGACCCCACAAGCCCCGCACCTCAGCCCCACTCGCCCCAAATCCCCCCCGGCCCCACGCCGACCCCACACTCGCCCGCCGGCCGCGTTCCTCAATGGGGCAGAGGGGGAAATCGGTGCTGCGGGGCCACGGCCGCGACGACGCGGGGTCGAACCGAGCGCCGCTCAGCCGAGGGACGCGGATTTGGAGGAGGCGCCGCTGCTCGGGGGGGGGGGGGGGGACGACGACGACGACACGCGCAGAGCTGTAGGGCCGCCCCACAGGGAGCCCGTTTCTATGGGGCGCGGCTCCCAGCTGTGCCGGCACGACGGCTCCCGGCTGCGGGGGGGGCAGCAGCGCTGCTCTGTGGAAGCGCCCATCATCTTCATCATCATCTTCATCCTCAGCTTCACCATCAGCTTCATCATCATCTTCATCATCTTCTTCATCATCTCCACCATCTTCATCTTCATCTTCATCTTCACCTTCATCATCTCCACCATCTCCATAATCTCCACCATCTTCATCATCTTCATCTTCATCATCTTCATCTTCATCATCATCTCCACCGTCTCCATAATCTCCACCATCTTCATCACCTTCGTCTTCATCGCCATCTCCACCATCTCCACCATCGTCTCCCCCCTCCCGCCCCGCTCTCTGTCGCCGACATTCACACTTCGTCCCTCCGTTCCACAGCCGCAGTTCGGTCGCGGTTTCCCCTCGGGTCGCGGCGCCGCGGGGTTGGACGCGCCGCCCCCCAGCGTGCGGGGCGGGAGGTGGCCGGGAGGCTCGGCTCGGCCCCCAGCCCCGCACGGCGCCGCACGGCGCTTTTCGGGGCGGCGTTTCCTCGCGGCCCCCGGGCCGCCGCACGGTGCAGACGCCCGTTAACGGGCCGCCGCGAGGGCTGAGCCCCGGGCTGCCGTGGGGCGGGGGGCTCCGGCGGGGCACGGCTCAGCAGCCCCGGCTCAGACGCCATTCCCCCCACCCCCCATTTCCCCCCTTCCGTTCCCCATTCCCCCACTATTCCCGTTCCTCCCATTCCCTTTCCCCATCCCATCTCCTATGCATTGCCCCCATTCCATTCCATTCCATTCCATTCCATTCCATTCCATTCCATTCCATTCCATTCCATTCCATTCCGTTCCCCCCTTTCCCCCCATCCCACCCCCCATTCCATTCCCCGTCCCCCACCTCACCCCACTGTAGGACCCCCCTTACGAGCTGCCCCCAGTTTCCACCTCCCTCCTTCCTCTACAGGGGAAACCCCCCCCCCCCGTGCCCCACAGCGGCCGTGGGGCTGCGTGTCCCCAAGCAGAGCAGCACCCGCTGCCTCAGTTTCCCCGCCCCCCTCATTTGGGGACCCCCAACTGGGGCCAGCCCTGCACACCCCGATCCCCAGAGCCCCACACCTGGGGGGGGAATGGGGGTAAATGTGGGGTGGGGGGGGAGGCAGGGCCCTGATGTGGGAACAGTGGGCTGCGTTTGCAGAAGGGAATTTTGTCCAAAATCACAAAATCCTGCGCTGCCAGCGCTGGGCGCCCCCAGCAGTGGGACAGCAATGAGGTGCCACCAATGCAGCACCACCAATGCGGGGCCACCAACAGAACGCCGCCGCCGTGTCCCCGGCCCGCAGTGACGCTGAGCTCGGTGCCCCCGGTTCTGACCCACAGAGTCCCTTCCAACTTGACGTTCCATGACCCCAAGGCCCTTCGTGTCCCCTCCACCCAGCCGCTCTGTGACCCACAGGATCCCCTCCATCCAACCCCCCCCGTGGTTCTGTGACCCATAGGACGGATCCCTTCCCACCCCCCGACCCTTGGGTCCCTTCCACCCCACACGCTGTGACCCCATCGCCCTTCGATCCACCGCGCCGTGCTGTGACCCCACCGCTCTGACCCACAGGATCCCTTCCATCCAACCATTCCACGACTGCGGTTCTTCAGCTCCCCTCCGACCCAAAGCGCCGTGACCCCGTGGCTCCGCAGGATCCCTTCCAACTCCATCTGCTCTTCCACGATCCATCAGCTCCCCGCCAGCCCTCCCGCACCGCGACCCCTTTGCTCTGTGACCCATAGGATCCCTCCCCACCCCCATCCTACGATCCTTCGGCTCCCTTCCAACCCCGTGACGCCGGGATCCCAGCACCCCGCAGTTTTTGAGGGTCCTCGCCCCCCAAACGCGCCCCACTGCCCGGTTCTGTGGCTTTTAGGGTTGCCCCCCCTCCGCCCTGGGCTGAACCTGAAGCAGGGGGGGCTCTGCAGGGCTTTCTTTCCTTTCTCCTTATCCACCTTTATTCAGAAGAAACGCGGGGGGCAGCAAAAAGGGGGGGGGGGGGGGGCAGCCTTGATACGATAAAAAGAAACGCAGCAGCTCCTCCCAACGGGAGCCCAGCGAGGGGCTCCGCCTCACGGCAGCGGCACCGGGACCGCGGCCCGCCGGGCCCCTGGGAGCCCCTGAGGAGGGCGGAGGGAACGCGGAGGCAGAGCCTCAAAAGCGCCGCGCTGAAGTCACGCTTCGGGATGAGCGGAGCCGCAGAGCGGCCCCAGGGCTCAGCACAGCGCGGGACCCCCGCAGCCCCCAGGCACCGCACGCAGCGCCGGGAAAACGCCCCCTATTGCACTTCCAGCCACCTGCACGGCAGCCCGGCGCCACAGCCCTGCAGCGTCCTCACGCAGCAGCCGTGCAGCACAGACCCCCCCCACTCCCCCCAATCCAAACTTTGCACACAGCCGCAGCGGCTCCCGCAGGCCCCCACTGCCACAGGGCTTGGGGTCAACCTGAGCCCAGCGCTCTGCTGCGGCCGTGGCAGAAAGGAGGTGGGGGGGAGCGGGGAGGGGGTGGGAGTGGGAATCACCCCCAGCGCCCCCCCCAAGCGCTGCTCACTTCTTGAAGAACTTCTTGTTGAGCAGGAAGAGGAGCAGGTTGACGTTGACTTTGGCTCTGTCGAACATCTTCATGACGGCGACGCCTTCGTACTGCAGCTGCAGCAGCTCCTGCGCAGCAGCCACCATCACCACCGTCACCGCCGTCACCCCCCCAAAACCCCCCGCCCACCCCCCGGCCCAGGGTCTCCCACCTGGTAGCGCAGCTGGAAGCGCTCCATGTCGATGCCCATGAACTGGGCCTTCACCTGGAAGCAGCCGGGCTCCTGGCACGGGACGATGTCAAAGACGACGTTCTTCAGCCTGGGGGATGGGCGGCCGCTGCCTCGAATGGCTGCGAGGCCGTGGCGCAGCCCCCCGACCCCCCCCAAATAACTGCGGGGTCACACAGCCACGCAGCCCCCCGGCACCGACCCACAGCTCCCATCTGCTCTGAGTCCTGCTGCTCCCCCAGCAGAGCCTCAAGGCAACTCACCCGGCCCGCGCCGTGGGGCTGCCCCACACCAACCCCCACCCGTGAGCCCCACGCGGCTGCAGGATCGTGGGCCCACAGAACCATTGGAGGGGGAAGGAGCCCCCAGAGGGCATCTGGTCCCAGCCCCTGCAGCGAGCCGGGGCAAAGGTCCTGCAACCCAAACTATTCCCATGTTCTGATGGCCCTAAGGATGACCTTCAAGGACCTCCCCCACCCCCACCATCCCGCGGCTCTGCGAACGACCATTAAGGCAACAGAATCACAGAACCACCAGAGTTGGAAGGAGCTCCCAGAGCCCCCTTTTGTCCCCCCCTGCACCCAGCAGGGCGCCCCCAGCTCCCAGCCTGAACTCGGACACCCCGGGGCCGCGGGACGCACTGGCTGGCCGGCAGGTCCTGGATGTCCAGCAGCACCCCCATCTCGCAGAGCCGCGCGGCGCTGTAGCGCAGGGGCTGCAGCTTCTTGCTCTTCCCGCCGAGCCTGGAACAGAAGGGGCGCACGGAGCACCGCCATCGCCGGCCAGAGGGGCGCTACGCCTCGCTCGGCGCCGCCATCGGGTTCTGCGGGGTTTCTCCCGAAGGCGACGCACTTGCGGCCGGCTGCCAGGCCGTCCAGGCAGCTCCTGATGTACTGGTTGTAATAATCGATCTGCTCCTCGTAGAACGAAGTCTTGGCGTCCAGGGCGCGCAGCGTCTGCCGCAGCTTCAGCAGCTCCTCCCTGCGG